TGAAACCCGAATGCTGTATCGCCAGATGAGTCCTCTGTTGTTCCTTGCATATGTCCACAGTTGTGATTGACCTGCAACAGCCAGTGCTCCAAAAACCGAATCAAATTGACCAAACTTGGCCAAGCCAGGTCCCACTTGAGTCTTTCAGGATGCGCTGGACTTAAAACAAGAGCTTCATCAATGTTGACTGCCGTGGATCGGGTTGTATTTGCCCAATCATTAGGAGGGTCCTAGTCTAGGGTCTTGATCAGAATAGGCTACTTCCAGAATGGCCCACATCAAATGGTTTATTTGAAGTGCTGTTAGTGCTTATTGCAATTTGATTCAAAGTCCTGAGTTGTTTCTTTTAGCTAAACATGCCAGTCTTGACTCTCCCATCACAAACAAGACGTATGCATTGGTCAGCTAAATGTAAGAGTGTAGGTATGACCGGATTTTTTGTCTACCCCTGTCTCCCCCCCCCCCCCCCTACAAACTGTCCCCCCCCCCCCCCCCCCCCAGTAGGCCTATATCCCATGGGAAGGATTGTCCAGCCAGATCAGATATTTTGTCCCCCAAGTTTCATGTCAAATATAGACCATGCCAGACTGATCAAGATTTTAAAGTTGACTCTTTTTCAAAACGACTTATTGCGATTGGTCTACTTTAATATTTTGTGAGTGTGTAATTTTAATGGTAGCGAGAGATCTAGTTTTTGTACGCTTGAGAAAATTCCCGTGAGAATCTCTCAGCCGGACGCATAGTAGTAATCACAATGATTGTATCGGCGCAGCTTGGCCATACACGAGTGCATGGACTATACTACTATTCATCATGGCTGAAGCCAAATTGGCAACAGAAGTATGTCAACTTATGTATTACTTACATTTGCCATATAGGAGACAAAATATGGGGGACAAATCCCATGTTGAAGCAGGGGACAGAATATCCTAAAGGAGACAATATTTCCTGGGAGAAATGGCCCGGGGGGGGGGGGGGACAGAATATCCTGCCAAAACGGGGGGGGGGGGGGGACACCAGAATATCCTGGGAGACAGAATCTCTGTTCACATAGTCTTTCCAATGTCACTTCTATCGACTCCTTGCTTTGTGATATAGCGAATGGCATCACAGAATCCTGAAACTAACAGAATTAGCCCCTCAAATACATTTACACCTTAAATTTTGTAGTCTTATTTCACCTTTAGAATTTCTATATATAGAGTAATTGTGGAACCTTTTTTTGGGGGGGGGGGGTTGCAATGTTTTAACTTCATTTGTCAGGGCGGTTAAATCTGTGAATGATTGCTTGGTAGTTTGAAAATGATAAAAGATAGTTGTAAGATTTTTTCTTAATTTTGTACAAGTGCTCCGAGAGCATTGCTCGAGAGACTGTGCGCATTTCTTGAAATGTTTCGCTGTGTAGCAGAATCTCTCTCGTCATCTCACTTCAGGTCTCCTTCCTTTCCGTCATTTTTTCTCTTCCTGTCATTTCCCCACAAGTTGACTAGCCTCCTGCCTGCCCATTTATCATCAGGTCCTCCACCGCTAATCCGGCGCACACACAGTCTGCGGGACGTCAGTTGCATACCAATACTGCTGTCCTGGAATGCTAACATTTGTCCAGTACTTCTCACCACCCACACCCGACATGCATGACTGTTAAATACTGGAGGTCTTGAGTTTTTATATTATCAAACAGGAATATCTGACGCTCATGAAATATGTAAATCATATCAGCGCTCTTTTTGTAAACAAGCCAAGCATGCAAACACTGCAGAGTAAAACTGCTGATTGTGCTGTGGACTAGTAGAGATTAACTTTTAAGTTGTTGCTTAAAGGTAGAGTATATCATTTGTGCATTTTTTTTCGTTTGAAGCAACAAAAGTGCTCAAAATCTAAAGAAGGGTGCTTAAGAACTAAACTGATGAAGTTTTAGCTCTGTGAATGCTGTATATTCCGAGAAAACAATATTCAATTTCAATTCAAAAGTTGCTCAGTCTTGTTTTGAATTGTGCCCAAAATCAGCGTCCGGGACACGTTCTCATTCAGCAGTTTGCAGCTATGCAATGTCACGCACTGAACCGACAAATTATAGCAACCACGTGCACATGTGCGACGTGTCAACACTTGGCCGCACACATTCACAGCTTCGAATTAAAAACGAACTGCCTACGTGAATTTCCAAAAATGCGTCCTTACACACATCTTTGGAATTGACCTTCTTTTAGTGTTTTCTTTAAAATGACAGCATGCCAGAAAGAATAATTTCACAGGGAGGTTTAGTCCCATTACTATCTTTAAAGCAAGTATGCTTTTCAACAATAATTGCATCAGTTACTTTTTGGTTAACTGCAAATGATATACCCTACCTTATAACACATATAATTTTGGAGAAAACATTTAAAACTAATGGTTGACTGAAAAATCTGAAATAATTGAAATCTAAATGTTGAAACAATGTTTTTCATGTTCCACAAGCTCTGCTGAACTTTTGGGGTTCAACTAGCATTTTGTGAATGCTTGAAGATTTTCAATCTGGGTCATAATGGAGCACTAAGTTCCTTGAGAATACTTAGCACCTGTTTTATGGATATCGGATAAAGAACTCCAGACATCTAATCCGGAATCCTGAGGTATCATATCGCAGAGTTTAGATAACCATTAGCCTGGCCGACTTGTTGTTTTGATGTCCGATTAACTCATATTTAACGACCATCAGGATATGATACTTCAGTTGATCTGGGTATATCAAGATACCAGGGCTAACTTTGACCTTTTGGGATTAGGGGTAGGCTCGCTACTGGAAAGTGCAACAAAGCCCTTGGCTACTGTGCTATGACCTGACTCTAACCTCCTTAGTCTTTGGGAGGATCTGGTTCCTTTCATTCCTAGCTAGGAAGAGCTCAACTCAGTGATTTCAGTCTCTAAGCAAAGAGCTCTTTATCTCTCACCACGCGACTTATGGCCAAAGTTGAACTGGTGGTTAATTGCAATACCAGGGCTGTGCCGCTTAGCACAGAAATTCATTAAGCTTTGTGAACAATTTGCCGAAGGGGCACGAATTACCAGTTAAAATGTCATGTTGTGTTAGTCTGTTAGTGGTTCTCGATTTGTTTTTTGCTATACCACATAAAATTTCAGTAATTAAATGCATCACAAAATTAATGTCCAACATCAATATCTTTCACAGGATATTAATCTTTTTTTTTTTTAAAGTGCATGAATTCAGCGTCCTAACCTAGGATTTTCAGCTCAAATTTTGTATTCTTTTTCCTGAGGGGTTTGTGGCTGATAGAAATGGTATTAATCAAGAGCATCTGTCCGCTGCAGTTTAATATTATATCAACAGCCTGGTACTATCTTCCAACATGCTGTTTTCTCATTGCTGTGGCATCTTCTTCCGTGGTCCTTCAACTTGTAATTTGGCCGTTACGCTTGCCGCCCGCAGCTGCTTGCCCCTTCTTGTTCAGACAAGGCAGCGGTAGTTTTCAACATGATTACCGGCATCATTGTCTGCCCGGTCAAGCCAAAGAGTTATACCAGATTTAGAGTCTACGTATATGTGTTGGTTACTTGTTAGATGTTCATGTACATACATGTTAAGGCGAATCATGTTCTGGGTCAAAAGTCATGTTTGACGATTCTCAAATGAGACAACTCATTGGACAAAAGTTCCCCAGAGCTCATGTGCAGCCGGCAGGCGGGGGAAACATTTCAAGTTCACGTTTTCGGCGCCCGTTCATGGCTGGGTTGAATCCTCATTTTTGAGTTGGAGACAGATGTTGCGCCCTGCACCGCAATCTGTTGTGAATTAAAATCGGTTCTGAATCGACTGTCGGAGCATAGCTCTCGCCAGATGGTTAATGAATCCGAAGCTGTTTTTGCCAGATAGAAGCTTTAGTGAGTTTTGCAGTTGGGCTGAAGCTTGTATGCACATCATGAACGGATCATTTACTTTTGGTCTCTCCATGTATGTAATGTTATTAAATGAATTTTAATGACTTGCGCTGAGTGACGATTTCAGCTCTGGTCTGGTTCGTACATGTTGATTAGATTAAGGACGGATTCTGTGCAAAAGGCAGGACTTCGCGACAACAATATGGTGTTATTTCCTTGCAAGTAAAAAATTGTTGTTAAATGAATATCAGTGAATTTTGTTGAGTGACGAAACTGGGACGGGTGCTGTCTTGGACGTGGTCTAGTTTTTGCATCTTGTTTGCATTTGGAGGTTTCGTGCCCTTTTTGTGAGACATAATACAACAAGCAAAACTAATCCGGATCCGGTGACGGCTTGTTCTAGTTTAAATTTTGATCCATATTTGTATTTTGTGTCAAATACGCACATACATTTACTCACTCCCTAATCCCAGCAACCAGTTTTGCAGTCTAATTCTTTCCAGGTGCCAGATAGTAACGGGGTGGGGGGGGGGGGGGGTGGGGGGAGTAAAAAATAAACTTCTAAACTTGACTTGGTCCCAAGTCGGCAAGCCCCAGACTTTACCCTGGGCTCAAAACTAAAACTTGGTTATGGTCTTGCACATCTGATGTCTCAAGTCTGGAGGTGAATTTTGGACTGTTAAGACCTTACAAAAAGTATGTCAGAGTCTAGGGTCAAGTATGGGCTGAAGTTAGGACCCAAGTCATGTTCACACTTACACCCATTTTGTAATACACATGACCCCCCCCCCCTAAAAATTAGTGAGTAATCCTTTTGTGAATCTGTATACCCTGAAAAGTATAAGGCAACAAAAGCATACTTTTTAGGCTATTCTCACACTACTTTTTTTTTACCCACTTTTCACGGATTGTGATACACCTGCTGGAAAAAAAAATGATACACTTCTGATGCACCCTGTCAACAGTTTGACACACCAAAGCATGGCTTGATGCATCCTTCTGCGTCAAAACCGTACAAAACCTGAACTACATGCATCCTCAATGCACTATTCCTTGAGGCACAGATTTGTCTTACAATTGACAAATGCATGAGACTTGTGAAGTTTTTCTTTCATTTTGCAATGCAAAACGTCATTGTAACCATCAGTCTTCTTTCTTTACTCTTCTTAACAGAAGCACTACCAGCAACTGATTCTCCCGCCGTTCTTCCAATTTTTTCCGAGGAGCCTCAAGATGCCTACATCATCAAGAACCGACCGGTGACGCTCTCCTGCCGGGCCCAGCCGGTCATCCAGCTCTACTTCCAGTGCAACGGAGAGTGGATGGCTGCCCAGAGACTAGAGCATCATGAAACATTCGACGATATAGAAGAACAACTCATGATCATTAGCATCTGTAAGATCAAAGATTTATATTTTTTTTTAAAGCGTCCAGGGTGGTTGTATGTGGTAGTATCGGTTACACACCGATGCTCCGACACACCTATGTTCTGACACACCTATGTTCTGACACCTATGTTCTATGTTCAGACTGCTCATATTCCTAACCCTAACCCTAACCCTAAACGTGAGTAACACAATATTATATGCAGGTTGTCGGAACATACATGTACATGTAGGGGTGTCGGAACACAGAGCAGTCACCGCAATATCAGGGTGGTACTTCATTCAATCACAAATCAAACCGAAAGTCAATCACAAGTCAAATCACTCCAGAAAACACATTTTGACAATATTGAAGAGCATCTCCTGAATGATCATTGACAAGGTATCTTATTGAGATTGGAATCCAGCCGACGAAAAATGTACTAAAATGTTTCCAGTGCTTTGCCAATGTTTTAGGTTCACAGGCATCCTACGTTCTTTAGTATTAAAAATAAACCCGGAAGGCAAATCGCTCAAATACAAGGTTTTCCGTAGGGAAAAATAAAGGAATAGATTTTGATTATTTGAGTGTGTGAAAATATTCAAATGTCTAAACGTCTTGTCTTTATGACAAAGGTGGTTGCTGAGTGCACTTGATCAATAGGCTATATTCACGTGTCTGCCAAATTAAATTGAAAGCGAGGTAAAACCTTAATTTTTGGAACTTGCGAATAAAAATGACAGCAATGAAATATATAGTTAATTAAAAATGAGTATTAGTCTGCTCTGATGAATAATTTTGAAATTTCTGATTAAACATACCCTGTTGTTTTAAACCACATTAAAAAAAAATTTAAAGTGAGGCTTGGAACGCATAAAAAGTCTGGCACCATCCCATATATACAGTTAACAATTTATAAAAATGCATTCAGGGAACAAGATCAAAAATGGCTTCTTCCTGAATAAGGTCTATTTTAATGGCTCTCTACAAACAAAGAGTAAGGAGGATATTGTGTTGTAATCCTTAAAATGCGCTAAATATAGCTTGCACTGTTTCGTTGCCATAGCAATCACCAAGGAAGATGTGGAGCAATACTTTGGCGTTGAAGACTACAGCTGCCAATGCGTTGGATGGAGTGATGACGATACGCACACAACGAGTAGTAAAGGATACGTGCGTGTTGCAAGTAAGTAAATAATAGTGGCCCTGACGTGGCGCACTTGAACAAATTTTGGAAAATCCGAAGTGAACGTTTAATAACTTCTTTAAAGTTCTTCGGATAAACCATTATTATTTCCACTCACATTCACAACTACAAGTTTGTCAGAAAATCATTTTCTTATTTTTGGGGGCATTTTAAGAGATTGGGGACATTGTGCACTTTAAAATAAAAAGTGGAAAATCACGCCAAAAGCAGTTTCTCTGTTAACTTTGTAACGGGTAGGTAAACTCAAGATTTATGAAAGGGAATGTTTAGAGCTTGATGAAATTTCACTTACTGTGAAATTTGAGGAAATTTTTTTGATTTAGCAAGGCACTAAAAATAAAGTGTGCCACGTTGGGGGCCGCACCACTTTAGTGGACATCAACAATACTTTGTGCAAATATACTCAGTAAAATAGGTCCTGCAGATTTGTGCATAATCTTAAGGCAAAAAAATGTACAAACTGAGGCGACTGGGCCCTTTTCATACATTGGACCTGTTCTCTGGAATAAACTACCAGATTCTATCCGGAACATTAATTCTCACGAAATTTCAAAACAGAACTTAAGACGGTTACACCTCTATGTTCCCACACTCCTATGTTCCGACTGCACATATTCCTATTCCTAACCCTAACCCTAACCGGGAGTAACACAATCAAGGTTGTCGGAACATAGGGGTGTCGGAACATAGAGCAGTCACCCTTAAGACAATGCCATTTACACAAGCATACTGAGTCTAACTTGTTTTGTATTTGTTGATTTCCGTTTTCGCCATTTTTATCATAGTGCATGTATTGCTGTATGTGCGCTTTGTAAATCCATATATTCATTTTACAATGTCTGTCAATGAGTTCCTACTTAGAAGCACAAAATGTCCCCTAAAAAAAATTCTAACTGTGTGTAAAAAAATACCATTGTTTCTCTGTTAATCTGTTGGATTGTTATATGATACAAAATGCTTCAGAATCAGAGAACCAATGCAGATAGTCTTTCAATCATAAAGAATCAAATTTTCAAAATCAAGTTATTCCAAACTGACATTTTATGTGTGTGTGCGCACTTGAGGATTTTCTGGCAACACTTTCCGACATTCAATATCAAAATATCCCGCTAGCAGTGATCACAGACACTTCAAAATCGTCTTGACTTTCTCCATGAACCAACAGGGTCTTCACCTCGCTGTGTTATTGCTGTTTACGGACGTTTCATCGGAGTCCCAGATCTGCAGAAATGACATGCTGGTCAACCTTATCAAAACTGTACTCAATAGCCCCTTTGTGCTTCAGTTGTATACAAAATATTGTCACCCTTTCTCAGTCAAAATTTATCCTATTTAAAAGATGGCCTCTTTAGAATAGTGGGCCATTTTTTTGGGTCAGTTTTCCAAGCATTTGTTGTCCATTTTCTGGGTTCCCAGGAGGTATAGTGATCAGAAGCAATCGTTCAATACGCAGTGGATTACCATCACTTTGTGTTAATTGAAAACAGTGTCTATTTCGGGACGCTGTTTGTACGGCCGGGTCTGGTTACCCATTTTGACCACGCTGGCATTGACAGGTGGAACAATGGGCCTCCAACGGCGCGCTTCAATTAGCCGCTGAACACTGGGAAAAGTGATACCGAGCAGCTCTCGAGTGTTGGCACACTACGGAACCAGCCCAGATAGACTCCGTCCATCGCAGGAGCCGGATTGCATTTCCCTCTTTTCCATAACAATAGGTTTCCAGGAGATAGCAAGCCCTAACCCCCTCCCCAGCGAATGTGTAATCTGAAACTGTACTCAGATTTTTTTGAGGGGGGAGGGCGGGGGAAGGATGGAGGTTTACTCACAGAGCAACAGCGGAATGGCCATAGTTGAAATGAATGTGCCAGTAGGCGTGCTTGTTTTAGAGGGAGGGGCAGGAGGGTTAATCCAGGCTTAATGATTATCTGCGACCACCCCGAAATTAGCGCGGTGGATGAATAGCGTCCGAGCCAGGGAAAATATTTGAACAAGTGTATTCCATGACTCAGAGTCTATCAGACTGCGTGGTTGGGGTCTCCTGGTAGGCACGCGCGAGTAAATAAACACGGGAGTGATTGGGCCACTTACATGGGGTCCGAGGAGAAAGTGTGCGTTAATTAAGGTTTTAAAGCCGTCGGAGACACCAAGAACGAGGAATCCATTGTTCGTTTCTCAGTTGATGGACGTCGGGGGTTTGTTTGGATGGATCTCTCGCAGGAGCTGTGAGAAATCCTGCCGCGGCCTTGAAATTGAGTCCTGTAGTCCTTTTCAGTGTGCTGTGCAGCGTTCATTATGGGGACAATGAAAGCAGATACTGTTGAAATGTGCTTGGCCTGGGGCATATCACAGATCAGCGGAAGGGGGTGGGGCAACATGAGCAAAAGAAGGGGGGCTGTAGAACATCAAAAAAGGGGTGCCGGGAGAGGGGGGGGGGTAATATAATAGATTTAGACACTTTGCAATTTAGCAGCCATCTCTTTCACACAGTTGAATTTGCATTTTGACCAGTTCGCTCCCGATCATTCAGAAATGGTCGCCGATATACAAACGTTCTACGCGTACATACAGCATGCGCTGTATCGAGATTTGACACGCACTTTGGTCACGTACACGTATTGTGCTGTTCTAAAAAGGACAAATTTCCATCATGATTATATTTACAAACGTCGCGAAAAAAACTGAACTCGGTGACATTCAAAAAGTAAAACTGTATAAGTAAATCAGATAAACCATCTACCTATAAAGACGGCAACTTGTCCTTTATTGATCACCAGCCGGTCTCTCCAATATGGCTTCAAATGGCTTGCCGTACGCTATCCAGTCTTTTCATAGACATCAGTTAAGCTTATGTCCATGTGGGAAAAAAACATGTACCTCAAAGATGGCTGCAATGCAAAGAATCTGTTGCAGGCGTGCAACTGTACATGACATCACTTCCCACTTGCCCTGAAGGGCAAAACCTAATATTGATCACTTCCCTTGAAAATGTAAACGTATTCCATTCAAAATTTAAAGATGCCATATCAAAGGTTCTCACACAGCTTTTGAACATTCCTCAGTTTTTACGACCTGCAAGTTGCATGTGGAACATTCTTAACAATATGGTTGCAGAGGAGCAACATCACTTATGTGTTGGTAATTTTTAATAAGGAGGGATATGGATCTAGAAATCCCGGGCAACTAGCTGTTAATTTTGTCAATTTTCAGGCACAGGCGCCTTCTTTTTGTCTCGGAAACAACACCGTCTGCCCCTTGACAAACCTTTATCATATTTTTCTCTCCTCGTATAATACTGGAGTTCTGTAACCCCTCGAGCTCACTCGCATCGCAGTTCAACTGTGATTCCCAAAAAAAAAAACACACACATAAAAACCACAGTATATGTTTCCCATTTTCCTGGCTGCTTCAGACACTTCACGCCTCATTACTCCAGTGAAGCCAGACCCAATTATCACGGTGCAGTCAAGAAAGACATATTTTCTGATCATTTATTCATTGCGTTGGGGATAAATTGATGCTTTGACATTTAGCTTTTCACACCAGGAAAAGAAGGATGCCGAAATGTATCTGTTTGTTGTTCGTGGCCCATTTGGAAAGTGCAGAAGAAGGATGTTTTATGTAGCACTCCGATTTGACGAAAAAATCACATAAATTTGTTTGACGACAATATCTTAAAAGCATCACCATACACGTTCAGTATTGAATCCGGGGTTTTCGATGCCTTCGACACTTGTAGATATGGGGCTGTCCATTAAGTATGTACTAGAAATGCTGACTTTTTAGAACCCCCCCCCCCCCCACGCTTGCCATATGGCGTGGTTCCAACCCACCCCCCCCCCCCTACACATACGCATTTCATAAACTGATGCAAGAAAAGATACATGATGTATTGTACACTGTACGTTGCGGTGTGCGCGCACTGTAGATATTTTAATGTACATTACAAAGCGATATGAATGCCTTACGCGTGCCGGGTTATTGAAGCAGTCTTTTTATTTAGTACCATCGCGGTCTGTGGGAAGATAAATGGAAATGGCGGGGGTGAAAGTTACAGTATAAGGATTTTTCGATGCATGCAAACTGGACCTGGTATGTATGAAAGTACATTGATTTCATGACAATTTATTAAAAGCAACTTATCACTTAGCATATATGCATTGGCTTGGACCCCCCCCCCCCCATACGCATGGTTTACGCAATGTTAACACCTCCCCCCCCCCCCTTTCATGTGTACGTACTTTATGGACAGCCACAATTCTTGTGGATGTCCTCTTCACTTTTGCAGGGTGATCAGTAGCGCATGATGTAGTTATTCCAGGATTTTTTTTCCTTTTTTTGGGGGGGGGGTATCAGCTTCAGTGTAGAATATAACATATGATCTCATATCTTTTCAAGGTCGTGATGATATTTCGCCAAGTCTGACAATTTTTTTATCACCCACTTCTTCAACATTGACAATGAGGGATGAGTTGGTCAGATCATTTGACTGTCTGACCAGTCTTGCATTACCTCAATATGAACGACCTGTCAATCGCGATCAGACACCGAGGCACAGGGATATAGTAACTGAAGGGCAAAACAGGTGAAACTTTGAAAATCTATGGGCCTGGCAACAACGCCACTTGACTTACAGAGAATATTTCATCAAATTGATGGGAGCTTGGTTGTGAAAAAAAGACTTTCTTGGGTCAACTGTTTCACAAGGAACTGTTGCATCAGCGTATTTGGAAATGTAATTGGCTGACGGCGCTCAACGCTCACACGAAGACATTATTGGTTTGTGTGGATTCAGAATAAAATTGGTTGTGTGTAAGCACCGTGGATATCAGATTTTTCAATAATCGATACGGAAATCCAATATCGAGAATATTTGATATAATTATCCCATGTAAAAGTTGAAGACCATAAAGCTGACACTTTGATTTAAAAAAAAAAAATGTTAAGTCCCAATTTTCCACGGCCTCCTCTTATTGCTCAAACTTTTTAAAACAAATCTCAGCACTGACAGTTTGTCCAGAACAGGCAGTTTCTTTTTGAGCCTTTGCATTGGGGAGACTGCAAATTCCAGCAAACGCAGAGCACAAAACGATACCACTTGGCAGTTCGTGATGTTTTTATTTTAAGTCACAAGCACAAGTTGCCGCAGAGTTTAATTTCATTTTACAGCAAACGTTAAGCACAAAGTAAAACACAAATGGGAGATATATTTTGACGATAATCTAACGCATTTTCAGTATGATTCCTCAATATCAAGAATATCGATATTTCAATAAGATTAACAAATTCCTATCAGCAATATCGATATCAAAATAATATTGAATATTCGGATAATATATCTATATATCGCCGGTGCTTATATGTTGTGTGTGCTTCACATACAGGCACCAGTAAATGAAGTGGTGTGTACCCGCCCACTGGAGCTTAGGAAAGCATACTCTTCATGCACACTGGCCATTTTTTACTTTTAATAGTGACCATATGAATTTACTGTTTTATTTTGTTCCAGGCCTGAAGAGACTTTTTGACAATGAACCTCTTGGACAGCGCGTCCAGCCTCAACAGTCCATCCAGTTACTATGCCGACCGCCCTCTGGGGTCCCTGATCCAACGGTATACTGGGAGAAAAATGGCGCCCGCATCGACACGTCCGACGTGCACTTCCTGCAGACACAGGAGGGGTTGATACTGAACCAGATCAGATTGGAAGATAGCGGCAACTACACGTGTGTAGCAGAGAACATCGCGGCAAAACGAGAAAGTGAAACCGCCCAAGTGATCGTCTACGGTAAGACAGAACAGCAGATCAACTTTCACGATTTTATCTTTTTAATACCCTGCCAGATCCATGAATACCTACCAGATTTTGGAGGATTTTGTAGGATTGAGAAAGTACATACAGGGCTGGGTTTTGCGCACCATAGGTACTAGTCGCCATTGTTCCATAGGCCCTAGGCACCAGTGTGTTCTGTATGCCCTGATTAAAGCGAAATGCTGCTTAAAGTGAAATTTAAACAGCTGTAAATTGTCAATGGAATGTTCGATTGAAGTGCAACAAGCAGTAAGGAGAAGTTTAATTGTTCTTTTTCATGATACCTGCAAACCCTCGATTCGACCTCTGCCCAGTTCTGTCTCATTTGGTCAGAACGCCTCATATTTTACAATTGATTCAGTCACAAAAGGAACTATATTCCTGCTCAGCGCAAATCCGGAGCTCTGTTTTAGTGACCTGTTACAAACTACCAGCCCTGTCAATGTCATGGGAACAAATCCCTCCCAACCTCCAATGCAACAGGTGGTCAGCTGATTCCTGGCATTTGTCTTATTTCCAGAGAGGGAAAGAGAGAGAGAGTTGTTTGTCAGCGGCCAGCACCTGTGGAAATATTTCATTCCCTAATCATCCAAGGATCACAAACGGCCCCCTGAGTATCCCAAAAGTCCCTCTGATCCAGAACTTCTTTTTTTGAGAAACTTTGTTCTGGGAGATGGATAAAAGAGAGCAATTTGAGTACATGAAAATATAGTTGACAATAAGAAAGACTGACAATAATGAAAGACACTTAGCAAGTTGAATTTGTTTTATCGACTTGCATGTGTAAAACGTTCAGATTTAAAGAAGTTAAAACAGAAAAAAAATTCAACAGGCCTGATCAGCACCATTGTAAGGTTGTGCTGCCACAAGCAAACATAATCCCCTCCAATCACAGTGGAAAGTTCGGCACCAACGATTAGTGTATTTTAACTGCTCAGCAAGCATGCATCTGTGTGTTGTACATGTACTAATTGTCCCGGATCAGCTGTTCTCCAAAATTTTCACTTCATACAGCACTTAAGGCATAACTCTAGAAATAAAAAAAAATTGTTTAAAGTCTGTGTAAAGCATGAAATTTCCTCTTTTTTGGTTACTTCCAAGTTGCATGCCAAGTAAGTTACACCACAAAAAAGGCAGCCACTGTGTACAGCATTAATATTGTGACACCATGTACCAATGCCATGAAGAGTCGTGGTGCCCCCCCCCCCCCCCCCCCCCCCGCACTTTTCATATTAAACTTGCGAAGGAAAAGTTTTGGACCCACTTTTTCGAGGAACAAAACAAATTTTGGCCCCCCCCCCCTTGTGCCTGGTTGCAGTCAAGTCTATCACAAGTCCATCATAAATCCAGTCATAATTTAATGTGAATCACAGCCTGAGATCAAGTCACAGGTAACGTACTGGTAGTAGCAATGGCAAAAAATGCCTTTGACACAGTTTATTTGAATAGCTTGTGACTTGACTTGGTACTTGTGATCGGCCTGTGACAACTATCCGCTCCGTTCACAAGTACCCCCTCACCGGCAAAGAAAGTACAGTTGGGGGGTGACCGACCGACGCCATCTTGCCTGACTGCAATTTTGCCGCGACGCGCAGCCGTACCATATCACTGCGTGTATATAGTACAAATCCCCTGGTGTACGTGCAGCACACACAAGGAATGGTGTGCGTCAACCAGCTAATTGTCCCGCCCATGGGACGTCGTTGCTAGGTTTAAAGGGCGCCCTCTTTTGTTAGCGCACAGAGCCCATAGAGGTAATATTGATGGACTCATGATTGCAACACTCTCTGTCTTTTGATTTAGTTGATGGCGGCTGGACATCATGGAGTCGCTGGACAGAGTGTGACGTCACCTGCGGCACAGGACTCCGGGAACGCAGACGTTCCTGTACCAATCCGCCAAGGAAGAATGGTGGTCAACAGTGCGGCGGGCAAGACATACAGACCATCTCATGCACAGAAGATTGCCCAGGTAATAGGATGAAGGCGACCGTGGTGGTTTTAGAAATCTTGGCTTCGACTTTGGGTTTTTTGGCCTTTCTCTTGGCTTCAGAATCCACAGCATTAAATGTCTAACCAAATGGAGAAAAAAAATCAAAAACTTCAGCCTCATTTTACGGGACTTGCTATTCCTGAAGGACCTATATTGAGCCAGTTTTTCCCAAGCCAGGAGCTTAAAAATCTCCTAAAGCAGGACCTGGAGACAAAACCAACTTCTGGAATTTCCTCAAAAGAGAGTTGAGGAATACTGAAGACTATTGGTGCCGGGAGCTTCATATACCAAGTTTATGCATATTCATAAGAAAATTTGTACGTGTAATGCATTTGAACCAGAGCCCAGATTGACCTTTTTATATGGTGGACACAATACGAGGGCGCTGTTTTGTTTGGATAAACACATTTATATTTACCCAAATCAAATAGCAGCACCCTCTGTCAACCATATCGCAAAAAGGCTGATACGACAAAGCCAAGATTTTGGCAAAAAAAGCCATCTGTGTGTAATTATATCTCATATAGGAAAACCAGTGGTAGGAACTTTTTTGAAATGACATCATTGCCTGCATGTAACTCATATAGACAAAGAAAAGTGAACACCGAGGGCAGCATGTACATTTACTAATAATGCAGTTCTGTTTTTTGTTTTATTCTGTGATGTACAAAAATTATATTAACTGTTGGATAGCTTGCCCAGCATTTTTTTTTGAGAATAATACAAACAATATCTGTCCTTTCTGTACAATTACCATCGCAAGGAAGTTATATTTTCATCAGATTTTGTTGGTTGGTTGGTTGGTTGGTTTCTCTGTTAAAAAGATAACTCAAAAAGTTATGGACGGATTTGCATGAACATTTTTTGAGGGGTGTTCCTTGATTCAAGTACAAATCGATTAGATTTTGGAAGTGATCTGGATCCAGGATATTTTTCAAGGATTCTTCACCATTTATGCTACCGGTAGTATTTCTTTTGGTGTACTGACAATATGGCAGGGAATTATTTAGCATTGACGGTGGTTTGAGCTCTCTGAGTGCTTTCTAGTTTGTAATTTGAATGAATTTGCATAAATTACAAAAGATTTGTTAACGGCATGACAGTACATAGAACTAACACTGATAGAGAATACATCTAACATTGCATCTCAATGGAGCCTTTAAAATAAAATGAGTTTTGTCCTCATTTTTGTTGTTGGGCAGTTAATGGTGAATGGGGGAGATGGTCGGATTGGTCGACATGTAGTGGCAACTGTCAGCAAGTTAGGAGTCGTTACTGCGACGACCCACCGCCCAAAAATGGCGGTCAAGACTGCTTTGGCGAAAACTTTGAACGGAGGAACTGCACTGGCGGACGCTGCAGAAGTAAATATCTAAAACTTGTTCTAGAACTTCAAATTTTCAATTATAGTTAAGGCAAACTGGCACAACCCTGGCTGCCTTTATACTATCAAACATTTACCCAAATTCAACTTCTGCATTTGTGATACTCATTCTGAACCTTAGGGATACTGTCCAGCCACTGTTACCCGGCATAGCCATTATTTTTTACCTTAGTTACAAGGTAGAGCAATTGGGTAATTGCTCAATGTTGAGTTCAGGAAAATTCATGGTCAAAATTCCAAGGAGTGGGAGTTGACTCTTGATTTGGTTCAACATAAGCTGCGTTCACATTGGACTGCATTTCACATTGGACTGCATTTTGCAAAACGTCACCACAGTCAATTACGATGTCATTCTTCCTCAACCCAGTTGGCCCTGTGAAACTAACTGATGCAGACCGTAAAACTCAGAATCGACAGTCGACACTTGACAATTTGGAAGTTTGATGGCTGTCCGCACTGGACTTAATTTGGTTAAGTTGACACCAGTCTCGGTTAGTTTTACCATAAAAAGTCCAATGTGAACAAAGCTTTTGTAGTTAAGTGCAATTAGGTGGTAAAAAGGTGCCAAATGGTACCACTCCCCCCCCCCCCAAAAAAAAATGTGTTAGTTTTCCTGACACTATGGCTTAAGAATTTACATGCAGGCTTTGGTATCATATCATATTCTGGTATCTTCAGATTGATTTGATCTGTCGAAAGAATTCAGAAATAGTTCTTGCAAAGTTTGAGATTTGAAAACAAATTCAGACATTAAAGTAACAAAAGCTGTTTCAAGAATTTTAAACACGGTCCATTCTGGTGCAGATTTTGTACTTGGAACAGTCGTACAGTATTTCAAATCTGTTGAAAAAACTTTTTTAAAATTTGAAAATTTGCTGTTATTTATTTGTAATCTAGGTTTGAAAGTTTCCACAACCACCACAGCTCATCCACCTGTTGCAGCTTCAGGAACAGACAACAATGGCAAAGGCCCCCCTGTCGGTACGGTAAACGAGGACCCAAAAGGTGAGAGGTCTAACATTTGGCTGATGAAAAAGGGCATCATGAGAAATACAATTTAAAATTAATCAAATTGAATACTCTGATTTGAACAGAAGATAACTGTCCCCCAGCCAACTTTGAACATTCGTTTTAAAGTTACAGAAAAAAATGGTTGTGCCTCTTTCATAATTTTAGGTTTATAGCTACCAGTTAATACATGATTGTGTTTTTCAGGGTTTGAGGATTTTTTTTCAAGACATCTGACAAAAGGCGAGTGGTGTGGGCTTGGATTTGATTATTTCTCCTATTAAGTAGCTTTTTCAGATTCTAATAAGCAAGTTGCATTGATCCCCTCTGTGATTTTGTCGTGTGTAGTCCATTCATTTAGAGATTTTGACATGGATAACTATGGAAAACTGCACGTAGACATTGAAAGTTTCCGTAAAGCTATGCAGGTTCAGGCCTGAATATTTTGAGATTGAATGGTGCAATTTTGAAGTATATTTGTTTGTGACTTCTCTCTTCCAGTGAAAGACCCCAGTGAGGATCAGATCCCTCTGTACGTCGGTGTGGCCCTGGCGGCACTGGTTTTTCTTCTCGTCTTTGTCTTTATGATTGTCTGCATAGCAACGCGTAGGAAGAGGCAAGGATCAGGTTTCGCAGCTACAACTAGAGGTAAAGCAATATCTAAACCTGGTCAGAAATTTTTGGGTTTTGGGGTTTATTTTAAATAACAATACTTTTAAAATAGAAGGCCTTGATTCTCATTTTTTAGATTATTTTGTTCTAGATGAATGTAATTTGGCGATGCTGTCCGTTCAACCAGATCTGACGCAGTCGGCGCCTCACACCATGTGCACACACGTCACCCTCCCCAACCACAATTCAGAAAAGATCCAGATGACGCCATCGCCCATCTTCCCAACAGAGGCCTACTATGAAGACCCCAAGGACATCAAACCAAATGGGATGACGGTGACATTCTCGGCCAAAAACGGCGTGATGACCCACCTGAATGATTACTCCTCAGACTCGTCAAACTATGCCGTGCCGAACGGGAACCCAATAATTGATCCCTCCATGCACCAGTATATACCCCTTGTCGGGCCGACGCAAGACTGCTGCCGCCAGATACTCCACAACAGACCCCCCATGGACTTGCCGTGTCGCAACATCCTCCACAACGCGCCTCAGCAGCGTTGCTCTGAGCCTGACGGCGAAGACAACACCACAGCATTTCACGAGCGACGGCTCAGAGACTCGGCCGTCCATTCGTCCGAAGAGGAGAGCATCTCGCCCGGATCACCGTATGGGTCCGATCAGGGAAGGGCTCCCTCTATTGTCAGCGCGGGGATCCCATCACACATAGACTCGCACTGTATGTCATGGGGCATGGTGAGCCATCGTGGGGGGAGACTTGTCATACCTGATGCAGGTGAGATTTGGGTTTCATTTTCAGGTTAGGAGGCTTTTAGTGAAGATCTTAAAGGGAAGGTACAACATTTGCAAACATCAAAAAATGAAAAGATCAAATTATAACGAAATGCCTTACTGGATTGTTAGGGAATGACAGTCTCAAGCATCATGTAAAGTTGTGGCTCCTGGTGTGCTGGCATTTTCAAGAAAAACTGTATTTTTCCAACACTGGTCGGCTGACCAGCATTGGAAAAAACTGGCTTTTTTCAAAACGTGCTCCTAATTTTCATATGTAGTTCGTCTGCATTTTCTTTGCAATTGATTACGCATCTGTGAAGACTACAAGCCTGCTAGAGTGATTCTCTGACCTAACAATTCCTCAATGTCTATAGATTGCTCTGTTTCATCTTAAGTGGGGTCAGGGAACCAGACTACAAGAACATGATTGGTTTTCTTGGTTTTTCCAGCATCTACAAGCCCAAACGTGAAACAAGTCAGTGTAACAATTTTTGCTATAACATACTAATCTCCAAAACCATTAATTTCTGAAAACTGCAGCAAAAGCAAATGTTGTTCATTCCCTTTAAACACGTGTTTGAGACTATATTTTTCCAGATATGTGCTGAGTTCAAATTGAGTTTTACTTATGAATTATTAGGAACGACTTGAAAGATTAATTGTTTAAAAGGAATATACAACATTTGCTTTTGCTGTAATTTTCAGAAACGGATAGATTGAGGGGGTTAGTATGTTATAGCAAATATTGCTACACTGACTTGTTTGATGTTTGGGTTCTTAGATGCTGGAAAAAAAACAAGAAAAACAATCGTGTTCTTGTAGTCTGGTTCCCTGACCCCACTTAAGATGAAAAGGAGCAATTTATAGATGTCAGGGAATTCTAAGGTGAGGGAATCAGTCTAGCTGGCTGGTACCCATTCACAGGTGTGCAATCGATTGCCAAAAAAATGTGGACTAACTAAATATGATAAATTTGAAGCAGTATTTGAAGGAAAAAAAACAGTTTTTCCAACGCTGATTGGCCGACCAGTGTTGGAAATTGATACAAAAATACCACTTTCCTTGAAAATGTCAGTACACCATATGCCATGATTTTACAGGATGCTTTAGACTGTCATTCACTAACAGTCCAGTAGATATATTTCGCGATAATTTGGTAGTTTTATTTTTTGATGTTTGTAAATGTTTCATATTCCTTTTCTTCATGAATGACTCCAGGGTCTAGTCGATGGAAAATTAATTTATAAAAGTCGTGTATTTGGTACCAAACTTTCCCTACGAAGTTCATGTTGTGTCTATCCTTATCCCTAGGTATCAGTATGTTTATACCAGAAGGGGCTCTTCCAAAAGGTCACTCGGAGGACCTTTACATTGCGGTCAGTCGGGACGTCAACGACCGTCCCCGGGTCAGCGGCAAGCAGACCATTCTTAGTCCGGTGGTCATCTGCGGACCACCGGGACTGACCTTTGCTAAGCCGGTCATTATCACCACGCCACACTGCGCCAACGGGATGAGAGGGGAATGGAGATGTTCGGTGTACAGCAATATGTGCCGATCTGGAGAACAGCAAGCTTGGGAGGTTGGTTTAATCACAAGTCATCGCAAATTGATCACAAGTTAATCACTACTCAATCACAAGGCATCGCAACTCAATCACAAGTCTTACATGGGTGGCAAGTGCGTAAAGTGATCGCCACTCACCATTGTGGCACGGGTTCGATTCCCAGCTCGGACCATATGTGATTGGAGTTGTTCGTTGATTCTCTCCTGTGCCATGAGGGTTTTTCTCCAGGCTCTCTGGTTTTCCTCCCTCCGCAAAAATCAAAACTTTTGATCTCTGGCTGTGCTGTGTGATCAGACAAGGGTTGACAGTGGCTGCCTAATTATAGCCTTGACATGCATTCAACTTGACCGCATCGAAGCTGCATCCTTCGCAATTCAGCTTCTTCGCTGCGAGTAAGGATAATTAGGCCACCATAAGTCATCAGGTCGTCATTACAACTTGATCTCAAGTCAAGTTTACCTGTCAAATTTGTAAGTCGGTCCCAAGATGAATTCACCAGTCAATCAAAAGTCAGTGGCTAGTCGATCACAATTCATCCCTCGACAGATACACAAGTCATCACAAGTCAATCAACCATCGATCACAAGTCATCGTTAGTCAAGCAGAAGTCAAGCAGTAGTCAATCACAAAGCACTCACTCAGCGATTACTATTTTATATCAAGTCTTGACTCGTAAGTGAAAGAAAGGATGGTAGTATGATTGTTTTGTGTTTAGTTTGCATAGGCTTGTATATTTTCCTTATGGAGCCATGAAATTGATTCTAGGCTTAATACTGGCTTGATTTTTACGTTCTGTTTGCAATCACGGTTGATCTCTCATCCAGAAAATTGCCATAGTGGGTGAGGAGACGATCAACACGCCCATTTTCTGCCAAGTTGACAAGCGGCAGTGCTCAATGGTGACCGACCAGCTCAGCTGGTTTGCCTTCCTGGGGGAATCCCTGCCCAGCAAAGCTGCCAGTAAGGTGCTGAAAATTGCCGTGTTTGGCCCCATCCTGAGAGCCATGATGGACTACAGCATCAAGGTCTACGTCATGGAAGATACACCTGATACCTTAGAGGTAAGTGGGAAGTTAAATTTTACATTTAATATTGGATTTTTGCCTTTTTGTTAATCACTTTAGTGAATTGTGAAACCCAATATGGATTTTACATTTTGCCAAACACAAAAATATCCATCACATGTAATAAAGTGTTTCTGGTAGCAGAGAACAAGGTCCCGCAAACTGTTCAAAGTTTTGTAGGTTGGAAGCCTGACGAAATCTTAAGAGAAAAGACGGAGAAGAAATGTTCAGCTTTAAAGGTGGGAGGAAAACCTAGTATAAATGATACACCGGTAAAAAGTAGTGGTGGGAATCCAGACTCATTTTTTGGACAAGACATTTTTGTGTCTAAGATTTGATGTTCAGCACCGTTGTGTTTTTCCCCTTGTTCTTTGGCAGAATGTGATCCAGATAGAGCAGAGATTAGGCGGTCGTCTCCTGCACAGACCCAAGCAGCTTCTCTTTACAGACACTGGCCACAATCTGCGTCTGTCAATCGAGGACATCATGCCTGGCTGGCAGTGTAAAGTTGCCTCTAACTTCCAGGTAAAGGACTCTACAACCCTTCCTCTCTTTCAAAATGCAATCAAACTAACAACAGATTTGCTTGAAATTTAGAAGAAAGTTCCATCCAAGAACTGTGGCTAATTATTATTTGACAGAAGCTTCACAAAACAGTTGATTGTTATTATTATTATTATTATTATTATTTCTGGTACTGAAACCAAGGATTCCTCAAAAGCGCCCTTGGCACTGTAGCTCGAAAGTGTGAAGAAACCTGTAGAGAGGAGACAATGAGAAGAAATCACAATTTTAGAGGTGGGAGCAAAACTCCAGAAGAATATTCATGGGAAAACCCACGGAATCAAGTAGGGACTAAAAACCCAATCCACATATTGGCCACAGTGGGATTCGAACCTGGCCATATTTTTTGTGGGCCCCAAAAAAATGGGTTCTGGATCTGCCCTTGTACTAGGTTGCGTTGTCTTGTTTCATCATAAAAATACTAGATATTGAAACATAAAGGGGGGGTTCACTTGAGCACAAAGTTTGTAACACAGTCTATGATGGTGTAATTGTAACTTCATTTACTTTTATATTTGCAGGAAATCCCTTTCTACCATATTTGGAGTGGCGCGTCCAACACCTTGCACTGTGCCTTCACCCTGGGAAGGGTGGACCCCGCTATCACCATGGTGAGATGTCGCATCGAGGTCATGCAGGGGTCATCGCCCAACAACCGGCAGGTCATCGAAATATCCAGATGCGTGGATGATGTAAGTAGTGCCTACAAAAATGTGAGCGTTGAGAAAATTGTGGTACGAGCTGCAGTAGCAAATGTTCTGTCCTGAACTGGTTAAGTTAACATGTTTTTTGTTCATAATTATTATTGTTATTAATCATTTCTGGTAATGAAACCAAGGATTCCTCAAAAGGGCCCCAGGCACTGTAGCTCGCAAGCCTGAAGAAACCTGTGGAGAGAAAACAATGAGAAAAAGTTACAGTTTTAGAGGTGGGAGGAAAAGCCCAAAAGAATATTCTGGGGAAAACCCACGGAATCAGGCAGGGGCTGAAAACCCAATCCACATATTGGCCCAGGCGGGATTCGAACCCGGGTCACAGCGGTGGAAGGCAAGGAAAGTACCGCTACGCCAACCTGACTCCCCATGTTTTTTGTTCATTGACCTAATCTTTTTTTCTCTTTGTCAGATGTGTGACCACAGTCACTCGGAGCCTGACGTTGCAATCTGCACCTCTGGATATGGCTCCATGACCCTGGAAGCACCCAACAAAGCCTTCCGCTTGTCCAGACCATTCAGATCCCAGCTCTGCACGTTGCTGGACCCACCGAGAAGCAGAGGAAACGACTGGAGAATGCTGGCCTCAAAACTAGGGGTGGATGGGTAAGGTTTCAAATTCAATTCATTGAGTTTAACCGCAGCTGGCCCTTTTGTATGCAGTAATTAGCTTTGATCATCAAATCGAAGGCGCATGTTTGTCCACAGCTCATCTCACAGTATCTGGATGTTCTTTTTTCGTTGGGTCATTTGAAGCACAAATGTTCAACACCCCAATGCACACAGCATGCAGGATTTGCGTAACAGGATTCAGCGAGAAGTGGATATTTTGCGAGAAGATCTAGATACCTTGAGACGAGCTGTTAACGACATGCGCTGTCGATGTCTACTGTGTTTGAAGACGGGAGGGGGACACGTGGAGGGTCTCGGTGAATGAGGAAAAATCAGAAACTCATACCTGAAAATGTTTTACTCATGAACAAAAATCCAATGATTGAACAAAAATCTGAGTGTTCTTTAAGTTGTTATGCTCTTGTGGTATTTCACCTCGGATGTCCTCTGGCACACTGTGCGGACTTTGTTCGACATGAAAGGGTACAAACCCCAATTTTGAACCATATTTTCAAGACAATGGTGCTCAGTGATGCGTGACCCTGAATTGTCAACCAAGGTAGCATTGAAAAGCATGTACCTAATTCTGCTTTAAGATGATACCATACGTTTTACTGGTAAACGTTTAGTCTGGCCTTTTTTTTAAATGCCCGGTATTGATTCTTGGAAAGAAAAGGTTACAAAACTATTCACTCTGCCATACTGTTCTTTCCACTTTCACAGCTACATCAACTACTTTGCCATCAAGCCCAGCCCGACTGACCAAATCCTAGACCTCTGGGAGGCTAGACATCGTGAGGAGGGCGCTGTCCTAGACTTGGCAAGAGTCCTGCAAGAGATGGGCAGGCAGGACGCGCTGGCTGTGGTTGAGAAACAGTTGGGAGCCTGGATGTAATCTGAGAAGCAGGTGAGTAGGACAAGTGCAGGTGGTATCTGGAACACATGTAAGTTAGGACAGCAATAAACAGCTGTAGGTGCTCAGAGCAACTGGAACTACAAGGTGTATGGACTTGAACAGGTGCTTGGAACACATTCAGTTGCTGAGAACAAGTATCTTGAATACCAGGTGTGGTTGAGCTATAGGTACAAGAATGTAAAACTGATCAGAGGCAAGTGCAGGTGCTCAAAGCACCTGTAGTCGATTGGAAAAAATCTGTCTGGGAAACCTTCAAGTGTTGCACAGCTCTAGGTGCATGGATGTAAACTGTAGGTGGAGGTCAGAGGTGCTTTGGACCTATTCAGGTGTATGGAAGAGGGAAGATTCTATGAGCACCTGCAAAAACAACACCTGAAGGTGCTTAAAGCAACGTGACAGATGCTTTGCTACTAACTGCAAAGAAGTGGCACTGAATTAAGGTAAATGGGATTTTTCCAGGCAACTTGTAATCCCTCTGCAAGGAATTCTGGTTCAACCATATTGTTTGTTCAGCATGTTATGGAATATTGAATATACCGATGTAAATGATACTGAATTAAGTTGTCTTTTACGCGACATGACCTGCAAAGTTTGATAGGGTAAATATTTTTAAATGCTGCTAAGATATGCCTTTCATAGTGTTGTTGAATTCTGCGAAACAATAGCAGAGGATATTCATTTTTGATGTTTAAAATCGTTTTCCTTCCATTTTCCTCTTTATTTGGTTTAATTTGTTGGGTTCTGCGTTGTTCATTAACTTTTTTTGTTATTTGGTTTTGAAGCAGCTACACTGAGCTAATTCATCAGCATGTGGACGTTCTGAATTAATTTCCACTCATGTTCAAGTATTGTTGTGTCTGCAATGTTTATATTGCAAGTGCATGTAGTTGAATACATGTGTGTATTGGGCATTAGCTGTCGCTTGGCCATCAACGGCCAACTTTGGCCCAAAATATAATATCTTTATATGGGGTTTGAAATCTGTTTTCCCTTCGAAATATTCATGCTGGACAGAAGACGACCCCTACTTTTATTGAGTGCAAAACAAGCTCTCAACAAGCACTTGGAAGTAGTGATTATAAATTTTCAGTGAACGGGAAATGAATAAAATAAATAGACTTGTGCAAAGAGCAGGTAATGTCCTCAATAGCTCACCACAACTTAATTTACTATTGTAGCAAAAAAAGACAGGCAAAACATATTTTTTATGAAAATTATAGCTCCTAGTGATTTAATAGAGTCATGGTTTTACCACTATGCAACTCAAGCCGTGTACAGTATTTGTAAATATGTAAAATTGGAACAATCATATTTAATAACCAATAATCCTACAAGACGGAAAGAAAAAAGTATCTGTTAAAAGGAGTTGGAAAAGCTGAAAAAATGAGTAAAAGTGGTCCTTAAAAAAGTGAATATGTATGTAATTACAACATTAATTGTAGGTTTTTAAAATGTTTACGAGGTAATGTGTTAGAATTGATTAAAAAAAAACTGCGTGGGGAATTTTTTTACCGAAAATATTTTGAATTACACAGAATAAGTTCTAATTCACGTGAGCTTCCCAAGCATGTTCAGTTTTTTCCTCTAAATTCTCTTCACGTTAGCCAACTGAACAAAGGAAAATGTACACATTTGTAAATAATGTATTTGATTGGAAATTTATAAATCGTAGTAATTGTTCTTTACGAAAAAAAAGTAAAATAGCTCCTGTTTCCCATTACCGTAGAAATAATGAGTGATTTTTTTTCTCTGTAAGTACAACTTAATAATTACTATTTTTATATTTGACGCTTATTGTAACCATGGTTAATGTGGTGTTTTATGCGTATTGCTACCTTGACAACGATTTTGCAGTTGCTGCAAGTAAAAAAAATGAAGACAATTATGTTACACTGGACAGACTATATTCTGTATTTCACCTTTTTATTTAGTGGTGTTAATTTTTTATTTTTTTTGTAGTTGAAGAAATTTCTGACACTCCTAAAACTTTTCATGGTATTGTCTGTAATTGTATTTATCAATAGAGTGCATGAAAATAACTGTTGGTAACTTTTTGGTGAAATGTCGAACTGTGGAACATATTGGAGAGTTATATGAGAATGCCTCAGAGTTTGTTTATTTATTGAAATCTGTGTCTTTTCACATTATGTTTTGATATTAAAAGAACCGGAAGATGCCAGTGTGTTCACATTATGGTGAACCCCTCTCTGATTTGGGTTGCAAAAAAACGTAAATCAAGAAAAAAAATGCTTCTGAGCGTCCAATGGCGTCCAGGACTCTGTTGCGACTTGTAGACCATCTCTTAATTTTAAATTAGCTTTTTCTTTTGAAATTTTGGTCTTGCTTCAAAGTTCCATAATCGGCATGTAACTATAACTGAATGTTACTAGGAATGGGAGCCTATGATGACACTATAGAAAAAAATCATGTCTGTTGAAGCAGTAACTACCACGTCTGTTTATACGTGTTCTCCCAAAATGGGGTCGTTGCAGCGCCCTCGTGCACTTCAGAATAGACCTTATGCTTAGAAGCCATCTAAGAAGACAACGCCTTGTTTTGCTGGGATATGCATGAGCGAGTCTTTTGTGCATGTTACTGAATCAAAATAACAAACAATGCCCTCTACGATGGCCGCTACGCGTATGGTCTCTAAGGCCTATTTCCAAGTCACATGTACATTGCTTGTTAACATTTTGATAAACTATTATTTGAAGCATGCTAGTTGTACATTTTTGCTCTACTTTAAGTTTTGTTTTCATTGATTGTTGATAAGTTTTCTTTCGTTTCATTGTTTTTGTTAAACATTCTCTGGCTTAAAAATGATTGTATAAATGTATGAGAGTACGCAGATAACGATTATATGGTAATTTTGTTTGGAAATACATTTGTACTGTAAAAATGTCAATATAACAGGGAAATAGCTTTGATGTTTTGGGCTATCGATATCAGAATTATATTTGGTTTACACAAGCAAAATTCCAACTTTTGATTCAATTTTTTAAAAACCAAAAGTTTTTAAAATGTGGAGATCTTATCTATTAACTGCATTTTAAAGAAGGTGGCGTTGTCATAGAAATGAGGGTAAGAACGTGGCTTTGATACGTTTTAAATTCAAAGGATGCAGTTGTGTTCAACAACTTTCAGAGCCTTTACGATTTGGGCAGAATTTGTCTTGTTAATATTTTTTAAGGGCTTGTTTTGTATTCATGTTTGCTTTAAGTATTTTTAGTACATGTATGCAAAATGTGCGATTACATTTCAGTTTGTGTTCTGCTGAAATTAATTACGCTTAAAACGTTTCATTTTGTTTGTTTTATTGATGAACGCATATGCTATAGATATCAGCGTTATAAATATTCATAACTTATGAATAATGATAATCTACAATGAGCACATACTTTTTTATCAAGTGTGTTTGTTGATTGAGAATCAGTGTCTGACATAACTGCTGTAAATTATTACAAAGGAGACAACCAAACAATTATTTTAAACTTCTATTTCAATTTGGAACAAAACTATATTGGACTACTTTTGCCAAGATCAATGAATATATGTCACCATATTTGCATATTATCACCACTTTTTTTCAAGATTTGAACCACAAATTTTGTTTGAAATAAATCAGCTTTTACTTTTAAAATTTTTAAGGGTATTTTTGCCTACTTAAGTAATGGGTGTTGGTAATATTACTCGCAATAATCTTCAATATGGTTATGTATGAATATTCATGACAACGAGTGATCATGTGACAGGGCTGTAAAATATGTGGATGAGAACTTTGAAGAAATAAAAAGACGAAATAATTTAGTCATGCGTCTGATGTAACAATGTGTATGTATTGTCCAACTAATCATTTTGTTTCAGTAAATCACTTACTTTTGTTCAATCATCCAAATAATGGGTGCATGAATATTAGAACACATTCCAAATCGATTTCTGGACAGATGTGCTATTAAAGGGGAAATTTCGTCGAAAATTTCAGGTAAAATCACTCAAAATCTGCTTTCTTTTTCTAGAAAAATTGATGATTTCTGCCCGAATCTTCGAAATTGTGCGTGTAAGAGTATTGATTGATGATCCTCTTGCATCCAGAAGAATTTCTGCCTTTTTTTGAGAAAAGTCAATTTGTGGCCAATTTTGACTAAAAATGTAAGGCTAACCCCTTGTATTTTTTTCAATTTTGGCCAAAAAATGAAATTGCTTGAAAGTTGCTAGAAAGATGCTTTAAGGGCCCTAGAACACATTCCAAATCGATTTCTGGACAGATGTGCTATTAAAGGGGAAATTCTGTCGAAAATTTAAGGGTAAAATTACTCCAAAATTAATTTCTTTTTCTAGAAATATTGATGATTTTCGCCCAAATCTTCGAAATTGTGCGTGTAAAAGTATTGATTGATGATCCTTTTGCATCCAGAAGAATTTCTGCCTTGTTTTGAGAAAAGTCCATTTTTGGCCAATTTTGATTAAAAATGTAAGGCTAACCCCTTGTATTTTTTTCAATTTTGGCCAAAAAATGAAATTGCTTGAAAGTTGCTAGAAAGATGCTTGAAGGGCCCTACAACACATTCCAAATCGATTTCTGGACAGGTGTGCTATTAAAGGGGAAATTTCGTCGAAAATTTCAGGTAAAAATCACTCAAAATCTGCTTTCTTTTTCTAGAAAAATTGATGATTTCTGCCCGAATCTTCGAAATTGTACGTGTAAGAGTATTGATTGATGATCCTCTTGCATCCAGAAGAATTTCTGCCTTGTTTTGAGAAAAGTCAAATTTTTTTTACTAAAAATGTAAGAAGTCAATGCAATGTGTTGTTTTGGAGTTAATGTCTCCACAAAGAGTGTTGTATTTTGTTCATCTGACCAAAATTCAATTCAATGCTCCGATTAATTTTTGAGATAGCATGTCGTCGTGGACTATCGTTCCTGTGCAAAAGTGAGGCAAATGCTCTGTTTTGACTGCCACTGCAGCCCATCTTTAAGTGTTGCTACGTGTCGCGACACATAACACTGTTTAGGAAGAGAAAAACAATATTTCGTTTAAATCTTCTGTCTAGTTTGTCTTCTTTTCGTTACCAATCATCTGGCCAAAATTCAATTCAATGCTCCAATTAATTTTTGAGATAGCATGTCCTCCTGGACTAGTGTTCCTGTGCAAAAGTGAGGCAAATGTTCTGTTTGGACTGCCACTGCAACCCATCGCCAAGTTGTTCTCCGTGTCGCGACATAAGACACTGTTTAGGGAGAGAAAAACAATATTTCGTTTAAATCTTCTGTCTAGTTTGTCTTCTTTTCGTGACCAATCATCTGGCCAAAATTCAATTCAATGCTCCAATTATTTTTTGAGATAGCGTGTAGACGTGGACTATCGTTCCTGTGCAAAAGTGGGGCAAATGTTCTGTTTGGACTGACACTGCAGCCCATCTTTAAGTGTTGCTACGTGTCGCGACACAAAACACTGTTCAGGGAGAGAAAAACAATATTTCTTTTAAATCTTCTGTCTATTTTGTCTTCTTTTCGTGACCAATCATCTGGCCAAAATTCAATTCAATGCCCCAATTATTTTTTGAGATAGCATGTCCTCCTGGACTATTGTTCCTGTGCAAAAGTGAGGCAAATGTTCTGTTTGGACTGCCACTGCAACCCATCGCCAAGTTGTTCTCCGTGTCGCGACATAAGACACTGTTTAGGGAGAGAAAAGCAATATTTCGTTTAAATCTTCTGTCTAGTTTGTCTTCTTTTCGTGACCAATCATCTGGCCAAAATTCAATTCAATGCTCCAATTATTTTTTGAGATAGCATGTCCTCGTGGTCTATCGTTCCTGTGCAAAAGTGAGGCAAATGTTCTGTTTGGACTGCCACTGCAGCCCATCTTTAAGTGTTGCTACGTGTCGCGACACATAACACTGTTTAGGAAGAGAAAAACAATATTTCGTTTAAATCTTCTGTCTAGTTTGTCTTCTTTTCGTTACCAATCATCTGGCCAAAATTCAATTCAATGCTCCGATTAATTTTTGAGATAGCATGTCGTCGTGGACTATCGTTCCTGTGCAAAAGTGAGGCAAATGTTCTGTTTGGACTGCCACTGCAGCCCATCTTTAGGTGTTGCTACGTGTTGCGACACAAGACACTGTTTAGGGAGAGAAAAACAATAATTTTTATTTCGTTTAAATCTTCTGTCTATTTAGTCTTCTTTTCATGACCAATCATCTGGCCAAAATTCAATTTAATGCCCCAATTAATTTTTGAGATAGCATGTCCTCCTGGACTATTGTTCCTGTGCAAAAGTGAGGCAAATGTTCTGTTTGGACTGCCACTGCAACCCATCGCCAAGTTGTTCTCCGTGTCGCGACATAAGACACTGTTTAGGGAGAGAAAAACAATATTTCGTTTAAATCTTCTGTCTAGTTTGTCTTCTTTTCGTGACCAATCATCTGGCCAAAATTCAATTCAATGCTCCAATTATTTTTTGAGATAGCGTGTAGACGTGGACTATCGTTCCTGTGCAAAAGTGGGGCAAATGTTCTGTTTGGACTGACACTGCAGCCCATCTTTAAGTGTTGCTACGTGTCGCGACACAAAACACTGTTCAGGGAGAGAAAAACAATATTTCTTTTAAATCTTCTGTCTATTTTGTCTTCTTTTCGTGACCAATCATCTGGCCAAAATTCAATTCAATGCCCCAATTATTTTTTGAGATAGCATGTCCTCGTGGACTATTGTTCCTGTGCAAAAGTGAGGCAAATGTTCTGTTTGGACTGCCACTGCAACCCATCGCCAAGTTGTTCTCCGTGTCGCGACATAAGACACTGTTTAGGGAGAGAAAAGCAATATTTCGTTTAAATCTTCTGTCTAGTTTGTCTTCTTTTCGTGATCAATCATCTGGCCAAAATTCAATTCACTGCTCCAATTATTTTTTGAGATAGCATGTCCTCGTGGTCTATCGTTCCTGTGCAAAAGTGAGGCAAATGTTCTGTTTGGACTGCCACTGCAGCCCATCTTTAAGTGTTGCTACGTGTCGCGACACATAACACTGTTTAGGAAGAGAAAAACAATATTTCGTTTAAATCTTCTGTCTAGTTTGTCTTCTTTTCGTTACCAATCATCTGGCCAAAATTCAATTCAATGCTCCGATTAATTTTTGAGATAGCATGTCGTCGTGGACTATCGTTCCTGTGCAAAAGTGAGGCAAATGTTCTGTTTGGACTGCCACTGCAGCCCATCTTTAAGTGTTGCTACGTGTCGCGACACATAACACTGTTTAGGAAGAGAAAAACAATATTTCGTTTAAATCTTCTGTCTATTTAGTCTTCTTTTCGTGACCAATCATCTGGCCAAAATTCAATTCAATGCTCCAATTATTTTTTGAGATGGCATGTCCTCGTAGACTATCGTTCCTGTGCAAAAGTGAGGCAAATGTTCTGTTTGGACTGCCACTGCAGCCCATCTTTAGGTGTTGCTACGTGTTGCGACACAAGACACTGTTTAGGGAGAGAAAAACAATAATTTTTATTTCGTTTAAATCTTCTGTCTATTTTGTCTTCTTTTCGTGACCAATCATCTGGCCAAAATTCAATTCAATGCCCCAATTATTTTTTGAGATAGCATGTCCTCCTGGACTATTGTTCCTGTGCAAAAGTGAGGCAAATGTTCTGTTTGGACTGCCACTGCAACCCATCGCCAAGTTGTTCTCCGTGTCGCGACATAAGACACTGTTTAGGGAGAGAAAAGCAATATTTCGTTTAAATCTTCTGTCTAGTTTGTCTTCTTTTCGTGACCAATCATCTGGCCAAAATTCAATTCAATGCTCCAATTATTTTTTGAGATAGCATGTCCTCGTGGTCTATCGTTCCTGTGCAAAAGTGAGGCAAATGTTCTGTTTGGACTGCCACTGCAACCCATCGCCAAGTTTTGCTACGTGTTGCGACACAAGACACTGTTTAGGAAGAGAAAAACAACATTTCGTTTAAATCTTCTGTCTATTTTGTCTTCTTCTCATGACCAATCATCTGGCCACAATTCAATTCAATGCTCTAGTTCATTTTTGAGATAGCGTGTAGACGTGGACTATCGTTCCTGTGCAAAAGTGGGGCAAATGTTCTGTTTGGACTGACACTGCAGCCCATCTTTAAGTGTTGCTACGTGTCGCGACACAAAACACTGTTCAGGGAGAGAAAAACCATATTTCTTTTAAATCTTCTGTCTAGTTTGTCTTCTTTTCATGACCAATCATCCGTCCACAATTCAATTCAATACTCCAATTAATTTTTGAGATAGCGTGTAGACGTGGACTATCGTTCCTGTGCAAAAGTGAAGCAAATGTTCTGTTTGGACTGCCACTGTAGCCCATCGCCAAGTTGTTCTCCGTGTCGCGACACAAGACACTGTTTAGGGAGAGAAAAACAATATTTCGTTTAAATCTTCTGTCTATTTTGTTTTTTATTCGTGACCAATCATCTGGCCAAAATTCAATTCACTGCTCCAATTAATTTTTGAGATAGCATGTCCTCGTGGACTATGGTTCCTGTGCAAAAGTGAGGCAAAATGTTCTGTTTGGACTGCCACTGCAGCCCATCGCGAGGTTTTGCTACATGTCGCGACACAAGCAAGGGCGGATCCAGAACGTCCTTAAACAGCGTTATTTATTATTGTTGTGTGTATTTTTCGTCCACGGGCGACATGAAACCTTGTCGCCCCCCCCCCCAACTGAGATTTTTGAGTTTCTAAACAAGTTATCATTGATCTACATGACGCCCCCCCCCCCTTAAATGGTAAAAAAAACGGTTGGTTAACAAATCTTATTGTCTGCAAAATGCAAAGAAAAGTACATGTAGTGCTCCCTACTCGCCATCACGTCCAATCCTTAAAACCAGGCCCAGTCATATTTGCCGTCATCAGTTGTCGGTGGAATCGGGCCCACCAGTTCTCGAGACAAATTTCTCAAATGCCACCTGTCCACCAGGAGTTTGTACCCCATCCTCCTCATCATTCCCTCACACCGTCCAATCGTCTGGATGTCCATAGCTGTCGAGACGGGCATGGTCAGCCGCCACTTCTGGTACACCTGGCTCGATATTCTCGCTGTTGAATACGTTCCCGGTCTGTAGGACCCGGTGTTGAAGTCGATCCATTTCAGCACCGAGTCCGGAACTTGGCCTCCGCGGCCGAGAAATTGGTAAATTCTCGAGGCGGCAGTTTTCGGATCCATAGCCGCGTCCTCGTATCGCAAAAACATGTAACGGTACTTCAGTGAGGGTCGGCGGGTCCCCAGCTCCAGGTTGGCCCAGTTGTACCTGCAGTAGATGCTCAGGTCATCCTGAGCTTTCCTGGAGATTCGGGTGAGGCTTTTGCCTTCTAGGGCTCGGACTCGAGATGCTATCATGGGGCGAGGGTCTCTCGCCAAGTGTATCACCTTTAGGTTCATCCGATTCTTGTCTTCGATCATGGGAAACAGCAGATTTATGTCTGGGACGCGTATGGACTTGATCACGATGTACTTGCTCTCTTCACAAATCTCTCTCGCCATGTCCTTCGTGATCGGGCACCGCGCCTTTCGAGGATGCTGGCGCTGGTACTGGGAGCAACGACCGTAAAACCGCGGCGCAATCTTCTTTAAGTTTCGCCAAGGGTGTCTGGATAACCACTGAAGGTAAAACTCGAGGCTCTCGAAATCGCACAGAAGCAGCTTTTCCAGCATTTTCAAGTAGACGTTTTCCTGGACCGCTGGCGTCATGGTGTACCTTGCCAGAGTTTCAGAAACGCTAAGCCCCGGTTCGAAGAGATAGAAAACATCACTGTTGCTGCCGAAAAATTCCCCAACGAAAGATGAACCGGTGCGCATGCTGGCCAGTATGATCACGCGCACTTTGCTGTCGGGGGTAGATAGCACGTTGGTTTCGGTAATTTTAAGATCAGAGCTTACTCTGGATGATTGTCCAAGATCTGTTTGATTCGTCTCAGTCCCGTTCATCACACCGACCTCTTGGAGAAGGGCGTCCAAGTCTAGCTCAGTCTCTCGTGAATTCTCTCCAAATGTCAAGCCAGACTGTTGTTCAGTAACATTTTGGTTCATGACGTTGAAACGATCTGTACTCGGCGACACTGCGTTTTCAGGTGCCCATACTTCATGTGCTATAGAATCATTCACCCACCTACTCAACGAAGACTCATCGGATAATTGTAAGAGAAGTTCGGGAGTTGTCTTAGTATCAGTTCCAGCGACGTACTCTGAATCATTCCTTGTCGGATTTTCGGTTGCTCTAAATCCTGCGTCAGGCAGATCGTTCTTCCACAGCTGGACCACCTTGGATGACATCCCCACATGAGCCTCGATATAAATAAGAGCGACCCAAGCAGCAGACGACAAGACCATCCCCAGAAGAAGAAAACGGCGGTTTGATGTCATTGTGCAGCGTAGATATCCAAATGCGTTAACGCAGCATCACAAGTTATTGTCGATCCAACGTTTACGTGCTTAATACTCTTGTAAGCCTAATCCGTGAAGTACAGTATAGCTGCATGTGCGTAGATGCGGCTTACATGTACATCTTTTTACTTTGCAAGCCACTACTGCAGCTCCAGTTCTCCAGACCCATGCAGTCTCAAGAATAAAAGTTTGAGAATACGATCCTATCCGCGCCCATCATATTGAGTAAGGAAAGTGCATCCTCAGTGCAAACAAGTTCTATGTGTACACACCTTTGTTAATAATGCTCTAAACAATCAAAACACGGAGCTCCGGTCGTAGCTATAAGGGGAAGGAAAACATCTTAAGTGGGTCGACACAAAAGATGGCAATCACTGGACTTGTCACACACAGCTTCGCCATAAAGGCGATGTACATCATACTTCTTCTTTGGAGCTCAGTTTTGCATGAGTGTAACACCAACACCGAGTGTTGCCCAGTAGGTGTCCAGGACAACGGGGACGAACATTTTAAGAGAAAAAGTGGCCACCATCGTTTTACAGAATAAACATCGCACGCTCATAGCACACACTTCCCTGACGACATCCTGGACAACATGTTTCTTACGTAATGGATTACCAAGTCTACTATGAGGCAGATTAACCCCGTAGCTTGGAAAGGATTATACAAACACCGGCTCCAGACGCTCAATATAGTAAATCTCTGGATTTAGGCGGCCAGTGGAGGATCAAAGGGGTTAGGGTTTAAACCCCCCTTTCTAGGCCGCCAAAAAAGTAAATACAAAAACACATACCTGCTACCCCCTCCCCCGCCCCTCTTAAACAAAACCGGGATCCGCCCCTGGTTGAGGGTGGCAGATTTCAAAACAGGCCCTTTTGCCGGGTTCTGCATGTTTTACATTTTCCAGAGAAACCCTACAAGTTCCTTTCCTGAAATGACGTCAGACAATGAAGCGAATCTCGCTTCACTGCTTGTGGCATTTGGTACCCGTGTAGAATACAGTAATATGTTTTCCTTCCTCTTGTAAGTGACTTCAGCACAAAAGACCACTCTATTTAAAAAAAAAATCCTTAGTCCGCTGGTGTCTTCGCAACCAACACAAACAAAGCAACGACAAACACTTGGCTTCGCTCTGAGCAGGAGCATATTCTGTTGACCGTCACTGACCCCTCATATTGGGCCAGCGTCAGTTCTGACATGGTTCCGGATAATTTTGGTTTTACCAGTGAATAAGTCTTGGTACATGTAACAAGACTGATTTTGGAGGTTATACCTTTTGATACAGGGTGACCCCCCAAATAGAGCCCCGAAATATTTGCCTTTTTCAAAATCTGTGAAGTTTTCTGTTTTAGATATCAGATTAAAGCCCAGAGTTAAAGCTCTTTCAAATACTGAAGAAAAAAATCATGAAAACAGCACAGTGGTTGCTGCAGAAATGAAAAGAACATCCTTTCCAATGGTGCTTCAAAAAGCTTTCATTAATTTGTGCAATTTCTTAAATATTTTGACATATTTCTGATGCTGAAAAAGGTTATAAAATAGGGCTAAAAGGATGATACCTATTCAGGTGGAAAATAAGAGGTATTTCCATCAAATTCATTTGTGCTCGTCATATTATGTGCCGTGTTGTTTGTAAGGACTGATTTTTTCCATTCAAATCAACGTAACCAAAGCGAGACTGGAAGGAAAAATAGTCAGGTTCCTTTTTGCACAAAAAAAACACATTATCATTCAGTACTGTTATTGGATACAGGGAACATGACTGAAATGGTGGCAGCATGATAAAGGTCTATGGTCAACAGGGGAAAACTTTTCTCTACATTGGAAAAGACAACACTTTTTCAAGGCAACAAAAATCTCAAATCACAGAAACAGCACTTGACATAACCAAGACTGTTGGAACAATTCAATATTTGCATTAAAGGAACAAGAAAATGGTCGAAATTTTAATGTCATAATGCTTCACCACTTCCATTCCTATACTACATGTACAATTTTTAAATACATACATATAGAAATTTGAAGGAAAAAAATGAATTAGTTAATATGCAACGCATTAGATCAGCCACGGCTGATGATTGGTCGACACTGCCTGGACTGGTCCATCGTAGAGAATAGGTGTGCTCCAGGGAGGTTGCATTGAGTACATTCGTGATTTAAACTCATGCCGTGCTCTATATAATTTTAATATCTACATAACGTATTGTGTTTTAGTAAGTATATTTTCTTGGTCACTGGCTTTTAAGTCTCAGCGTCTGAATACTTGGCTGCGGCTTACGGTAACACACATATCTATGGAATGAGGCTGTAGCCGCTTCCATAGTGTATGTGTAATTGCAAAGCCGTACCACATAATTCAAACACAGCCTGAGAAAATCCAGCACTGCTAACAGATTAACTGGTATACCGCCTTACATAACATGATCAAGTACACAGACTGGGAACCAGTGCATACCTGCGTTGGTATGCCAAAACGTCCTGCACTGACAACACATACAAAGCCCTAACGGCAACCAGTCGAAATACTCCATATAGAGACTCAGTGTCAAAAACACATGTAATATATCCCATGAAAAGTGTATTGCAGTCATACAAAATCCGGGGCTACGTGTACAAACTGCATCTCAAACATTTTTTTTAGAACCGGAGGGGAATAAATGAACCTAATACAGGCCCACGTTAAGATGATCAACACACTACAAAGAAAACTACAAAGTGTACTATAAACATGTACAAATCGACATGAAAAGTTTTTGGTCAATGCTGTTTTTTTCACCTGATCAAAATGCAATCCATGCTAAAACAAACACGCAATGTATATTAAGCTGTCAATACAAAAAGAAAGCCCGTTATTCTTCCCCCTGAAACTTTACAGATTTTGTTTTTACAATATGAATTATGCGAGGATGGCTAAATCAATGTTGTATACCATCAATGTGCGTTGCAGTTTAAATCTTTCATCGCATTTCGAACACATTCTGTGAGTACAATTTATTCGGAAAATCTCTCTTAATTTCGGATATTCTTCAATCAATTTCCCCCCCCCCCCCACCCAAATACCAAATACAAGCACACAAATTGTAGAGACGCTCAACTTGGCTTCCGAATCTCGCAATTACTTTTTTTTTTTTCAAATTGCAACTCATGACGTTATTTTTACAAAAAAATTCTAACAGTTATTAATCAAACAGCTTTCTTCCTTTAAAACATTACAAGAGGAGTTTAAAGAATAATCACAAGAACAATCTCTAAGACAATCATTTCTCCTCTTTGACGGGTTTGGAGTCTTTCTCTTTGGTTGTTTCCGATTCTTTCTTGACCTCCGTCTTGATCTTGTCCTTGTCCGTCTCCAGTTTCTTTTCCGACAGCGCCTCGTCCAGCTTAGCAGCCACCATACTCAGCGACTTCTTGGAGGAGACGATGGTCTCCTTGTAAGCTTGGGCCTGCTTCTCAGATGCCTTGAACTGCTTCTCCGTGGTGTACAGGCGCTTGCGTATGTCATCCAGGTTGGCCACCATGCCTCGGGCGTTGGCCTCGGACGAGGTAGCGTTGGAACGAAGGTTTTCTTTTTCGGAGGAAACAAAAAATTAACAAGGGGTCATGAAGGGAGCAACTAGAAGGGAGCAACTAGAACGGGGCCGAAAATATAGACTGTTCCATCAACCACTGAATATTGGAATAGCATTTTACCAAATAGAATATTTGAAAAACGTCTCGAAAAGATCTGTCTGTGATATAAATTTATTAATATAAGTTGATTGGTTATATAGCCCTTCGTTGATAAGTGCCCCTTTCTCTGTTTTTCTTTTTGGAGAATGTTAACGAACAACTCACCAACGATGAATTCCATCTCCTCAATCTTGCGTTCGGCCGTCAGACGATCCTGGTCGCTTTTCTCCACCTTCTGCAGGAGATTGCGGACGTCGATGACGCTACCCTGGAACGTGATCAACCCTGTCTCCGACTCGGCGTCTTCCGACTTTGTCTTGGCGGACGTGTCGACCTTCAGAAGCTCGTAGTTGCCTGTTGGAGGTGGAAATAGGAGTGACGAGAATTCAAACTGGAGACTAGAGAAAGTTGGCAAGGGTAAGGTTCAGGGCCTATGGACAAGTAAAACACCTACTGGGATGGCGAAACTCTGTGACATACTGGGTTTTGCCACCGGTGAAGGGCGAAACTGATTTGTTTTGATGTAAGCATTGTTCATATATATCGTCACCGACACCACGAAGTAACACTCCATGTGTTAAACCATATGTTTTTTCGAATTTCATTGTTTTACATTTTTAAACAATATTCATCAAGGCCTACCATTACACGAAGTTTCAAAGCTTCAAGAGCTTTACTTTAATAATTACGCTAATTATTCATGGCAACTTTTGCGCAAAAGTGATTTTCGTTTTCATGAAGTAACACTGAAGTTCCATTTACCATTGTAATGCATGGCGCGCTCTCTGCTCAAATGTGAGCAAAAACTTTTTCACGAAGTAACACTCCCCTTGTATGAGCGCGCGCGCGCTGACCTGAAGTTTCACTTTCCTCGTGTTGTATACATTGAAGAGTGTTACTTCGTGAAAACGAAAATTTACAGTTTCGCAGCTTTTTCGGTTTCACGAACTAACACTCACCCTTTTTCTCTTATTTCTTGTTGATAAAATACACAAACGGGTGAAAAACAGCAGATTTAATAAATTCAATTCATCAAGTGTCCACAACGAGAAACCCAACTGAAAATACTCTGCCGTTTTGATGTAAAGTGTTGTTTTAGAAGGTGTTCTAAATATAAACAGAGCAATCCTTTGGGGAATTATAAGGTTAAAGAATCAGTCGTGCAGGCTTGTACCCCTTCATAAGTGCGTAATCAATTGCAAAGAAAATGCGGAATAACTACATATGAAATCCAGGAGCAGTTTTTGAAGGGAAAAAACAGGTTTTCCAATGCTGGTCGGCCGACCATTGTTGGAAAAATACAATTTTTCTTGAAAATGTCAGCACACCAGGAGCCACGATTTTACAGGATGCTTTAGACTGTCATTCCCTAACAATCCAGTAAGGTATCTTGTGATAATTTGATCATTTCTTTTTTTGATGTTCGCAAATTTTGTATCTTCCCTTTAAACGGGGTAATTAGGGAGAATGCAGTACTCAATTTACCCTTGGCCAACTCTGCATCCGTGGCCAGGCCATTGACCTGCTGATCGGTTTTGCTGCCCTCGCTGTCATCTTTGGATCGGTCTGTCAGCTTGCGATAGCTGAAGATCTCTCTGGACATAGAATCTCGCGAGACGACTTTCTGAACGATCTTACGCACCTGGATTAAAAGTCAAAATAACGAGAGGAATTTATCCATCGTCGCGCCGTTCCACTGCGTAATTCCAATAAAAGGCAATGGGGCGTACAAGACCCAGCACTTGGAAGATAGAATGATTATAAGCTCCGTGCATGAACAAGAGAGGGCGTGTTTGACCACTTTCGAGAGCCCGTGCAGGGTTTGACGTTAACTTTTTCTTCACGAGCCAGCGGGGCTGCTGAAACAGACTCTTAACTAACCCGCGAAATTCACTAGCCCGCATGTTTTCCAGTAATAAAGTGCCTCATAAACAACAATGTGCATACATCTAAAACGTGTATCCTGAGACAATCTTGTCAGTGTCTTTAATAAACAGATCTAATAATTTAACCCTAAACAGGTTATAAAATTAGACCCAAAATTGATACAGGTTTGCTTTCTGAATTTAATGATATATTTCGTCCTGTCCTTTCATCTTTGCCATAGCCCAAGAATTTTTGACTCGCCAGTCGGGCTACTTAAGGAATAGTTTGACTAGCCTGCGGCTGTTTTGAATAGCGTTTGGCTAGCGGGCTACCGCTTATGTCGAACCCTGCCATGGACGCGACACATGTATGATGTGAAGTGCACACGATTGTGTTCTGAGCGTGTGCAAAGCCATAGCGTCTTCGCGTGAGCGTCGGGCGTCATCGACAATGTGTCTGAATGCATGCGGTCTCCCCAACTCTCCCTTTCTTACCATTGAGGGGGTACTTCTGAACCTAGCCCATTAATTGAACTACGATCACCTCCTCCTCAGAGACCTATGGAATTTCGGAAAATAACATCCATTACTGTTTGTACCTGTGATCTGGACAGATGCAAGCCAATGCTGTGGATGATTTCCTCCACATCTCTATCGGCAAGATAGTTGGTGTGATTCTGATCAAAGTAGACGCAGGACAGGAGCAGGGTAGGGTCTATTGTCTCCAGCTTGGGACGTCTTGACTTCTTCTTGGAATCTCTCTTCCTGTCGTCTGATCGCTTCCTGTCGTCAGCTGTGATGATGGACAACAGAAAAGTTCGATTAGCAATTGTAATGGATTTTGTTATTTTTTTTTTATTTCCAATAAGAGCTATTGTCACAGATTTAATCCAGCTGTAAATTAATAGGTTAACATAAAAGCTTAATTTAAAGAAAAACTTTTTTTTTAAAAGATGAGTCACAAGACATAGCTTTTATTTTATTACTGTTAGGTGCAAACACAGATTACAGAGACCGTTCAAGTACCAGTGTCATATGGGCTCCGTGCGCCAACGAAAGAGGGCGCCCTTTTACCTAACAACGACGTCCCATGGGCGGGACATTTAGCTGGTCGACGCGCACCGTTCCTTCGCACGTACACCAGGGGATTTGTAGTATGTACACACAGTGGTGGTACGGCCGCGCGTTGCGGCAAATTTGCAGTCAGGCAAGATGGCGTCGTTCGGTAACTCCCAACTGTACTTTCTTTGCCGGTGAGGGGGTACTTGTGAACGGAGCAGATAAAATTTGGACTCTTATTAAATCTGGTTCTCTTCACATCATGGACTCTAACACTACACACGTGACCTGTCACTGTCCTAATTATCTTCACTTGGGCAACCAATGAGTCCGCATTTAATCGAGTTCAAACTTCACACAACACCAGCCCAGATCTACTTTTAAGCATATGATCCCAGCAAGTTGTTACACAGAAAGATACTGGGCTCTCTTGGGTGCACTTCTGCGACCAATTTCACCAAACAGTGCGTAACTTGTGTGTAGGATTTTCACAACAAATTTATTGCACAGCTGCGGAATCGTGCGGCAACTCTAAAAAAGTATGTCACGAGTAAAATAGCACTTAATTTACTATAGGTACAAAGTACTGTGTAAAAAAGGCTGCTGGACACTTGGACTCTGAATGAAGGTCTGGTCGCAACTTTTAAAGTAACAAGGTATTTTTACAGGTTTTTGAGATGCAGTGATACATACTGTCTTCATCTTCGTCTGCATCACTTCTCCCGTCCTCTTCATCATCATCGCCTGCATCATCATCTTCATCCATCTTCTCATCGTCCTGTTGTAAAACCAAAAAAGACAGTTGAAAAAAAAGACGGCAACACTTTTAATAACACTGGTTGAGTGTGGAGTACCTTTCCCCCAGACAAAATGCAAATAAACCCCTGCTCTTCCTCAATGTTTCCAAGGAACTTAAAGCCCGAGTCCATCATTTGCAGCTATCCAAAAAGTAACTGGCGTAATTATTGTTGAAAAACATACTTGTTTGAAAGATAGTAAGGGGACTAAACTCCCTGTGAAATTATTCTTTCTAGCAAGCTGTCTTTATGAAGAAATCAACGAAAGAAGGCCTTTCCAACGGTGCGTCTTAAGAAGCACCGTTGGAAATTTCTGTTAGTAGTTCGTTTTTTTATTCGGCGAAGTGCGCGCAAGCATTGGCACGATGCACACGTGTGCGCGCGGTTGCTATAATTCGTCGGATCAGTGCGCGACATCACGTAGCTGCTATCGGCTAGTGAGAACGTGTCTCGGACGCTGAATTCAGGCCCAATTGAAAACATGATTCAGCAACTTTTGATTTGAAATCGAAATCTTAGAATGTTGTTTTTTCGAAATATACAGCTGAAGCTGAGCTGAAACTTCATCAAGTTAGTTGTTCAGCACCCTGCTTTAGATTTGAGCACTTTTGTTGCTTCAAACGAACAAAATGCACAAATTACAAATGATGGACTATACCTTTAAAGGTAGAGTATATCATTTGCATCAGAAGGAACTGACAAAATTATTGTTCAAAACCATTCTTGGTTTAAAAGGTAGTTATGACACTAAACTCCCTGTGAAATTATTCTTTCTGGCATGCTGTCATTTTGAAGGAAACAATAAAAGAAGGTCATTTCCAAAGATGCGTCTAAATATGCAATTTTTTTAAATTTCAGGTTTTAATAGACACAATAAGCAGGAGGATTGGAGAGCTCACTGGAAGTGATTTCCGGGGCTCTTGTTGAACATTTGTGTTGTGTTCAAATCTTGGTCAATTACAAGAAAACCGGTGACTTGAAGTTCTTTTTTACGCTCTCACCTTGTCTGCTTCTCGGTCTTTCCGGTCGTCTCGCTCCTTGTCGGATTTCTCGTCGGTCGTCTTGCGTTTTTTGGCTTTGGGCTCTTCCTTGTCCTTTCTGTCCTTCTCCTGGGAAAAAAACCCCAAAATTTTGTGCAACACTTTGAGTAAGAAGTTAATAACCTTAATTAAGCCCTTTTCACACTAGACAAATATCGGGGTTGACGCAGGGTTAAAAACATGCATCGTTTCACACTTGAAGAATTTCAACCCTGCGTCAACCCTGCGTCAACCCCGAGATTGATTTCGCCCCGGGTTGAACTCAACCCTGCTCTAGACCAGGGTTTAGATTTTCAACCCGGGTTGAAATTCTTGCCAGGGTTCAAAACAGTAGTAACTGAGCATGATAAGCTTAATTTGCATAAAACAAGTGTGAAACAATGTGGGGTTGAACGCGGGGTTGAAAAATCAAAAACTCAACCTGGGGCGGCACTGGGTTCGCCCAGGGTTGAGTTCAACCCGGGTTGAGAGGCTCTAGTGTGAAAAGGGCTTTAGATAGAATTCAAACAATAGGAAATATGAAGTCAGCATCTCCAGCGGTTGCCATTTCAAGCCAATGACAGTTACAGTTAGTGAACCGGATAGGCCTTCAGTTTGTGTGGTCTTGTGACGTCATACGTTTTAAACGTATGCGTCACTTTTACTTGTGGTAAACTGTCAATTGTCACCATCATGTATGGTTTGGGTAAAAGAGGATGAATATCTGAACACGGATGTGTCATTCTTCTGTGTTTCAAAGCAAGATAGCACAAGATACGGACATAGCTGCCAGCTTTTCAAAATCCCAATTAGTAATCAACCCGCGCGGTCATTTTCAACTGCTCGTATATTAACAGCGTATGTACCAGCTTTACCAACATCGAGTACAGGTACATGGTTTACATGTACACGTACATGTGCATACCCTTCTTGTTGTGATTAATAATGTACTGTAGGCCATAGGATAATTTTAATTTTTTTTTTTTTTTTTTTTAATTAATTTTGTTTTAATACTGTCTGTATTTGTTTGTTGAAGTCAAATAAATAATAACAATAATAACATGGGCGCATATGTTTTTGAGATGCATGCTATCAATGTTGAGTTTCGAGTTTGTATCATGTTTTTACACACAATGATTTAGGGCCACCGTATGCAATAGAAATATCCCGCCAACATACCTTGCAAACTTGAAAAGTACATGTATTCAGTTCACACGACCACACATCCACGAGGTGCACACAAATGACACACCATTGAGAAATATTTTTAGTCTGGTCCTCAAGTACTCCACTGCGCACACTGCATTGATGTCTATCAGGTGCTTGACCACATTGCTTATTAGACTTGTCACCAGTCCATCCATTATCGTAACATTTTGCCAGAAGTTATCGGGAAAAAAACGATACTTTACAACTATATTTTTTTCATAAGGTACAAAATGGGAAATTCGTAATTTTTTAGAGGCAATTCGTATTTTCGTAATTAAAAAAAAAAAATTCATAATAAATTAGGAAAAATTTGTAATAGTTGACAGCACCTGTGCACGCCAATCTTTATAACAAATATTTAGACAAAAATTCACCTTATCCTTCTTCTCAGGGGCTCGGTACAGAGCCTTGTAGATGTTGAATGCAAAATCCCTCTGCAGCATTTCATTAAAGAGCTCGGCAAACAGAGAAACCTAAAAATAAGAAGACAGAAACTTTGCATAATGCACTGACAGGATGGAATGAACGAGAAATGTTAAGTGGCTTGCATGTAATGAAGCGTAACAAACTGTAGCAGTCACTACTGAAGCAAGACAGATCTCTGAGTGACATCTAGGTTATGACAACCAATCACTGTTAATACAGTATGGGCTCCGTGCGCCGACAAAAGAGGGCGCCCTTTTACCTAGCAACGACGTCCCATGGGCGGGACATTTCGCTGGTTGACGCCCACCGTTCCTTGTGTGTGACGCACGTACACCAGGGGATTTGTACTATGAACACGCAGTGGCAGCACTTCGCGGCAAATGAATTGCAGTCAGGCAAGATGGTGTTGGTCGGTCACCCCCAACTGTACTCTCTTTGCCGGTGAGGGGGTACTTGCGAACGGAGCCGATAGTAAAAACGAGCTGGGTGTGTGGGTGTGTGCGTTCATCCATTTGATCAATTGATCCATGCATTCTTTCCCAGCGAAGCAACAAGGCAGTAAAGCCTCCATGTAGCAGTAACTGCTTTGTGAGAAATTTTGGAAAAGCATAATACTTTTTACAATGTCAAAAGGCAAAAGGGAGGGAATAAAACAAATTCATGTCCAGATGACCAACCTCAAAGGAATGTTCTTTATTGTCCTCAATCCTGTAGTCCAACAGAACGCTGAGACAGACCACATTGCAGTCAAACTTGCCACTCTTGGCGGTCGCTGACGGGTGGACTAAGATCACGGGATTGTCGGGCAGAGTGGTCTTACGCTCCAGATCGCGACGTAACTTCTCGTCGCTCAGCTTTCTCTTGTCCTGAAAATCAGAAGACAATAGAAAAATCCTTACTTCAAGGGAAAATACAACATTTGCAAACATCAAAAAATAAAACTACCAAATCATTTGAAATACCTTGCTGGACTGTTAGTGAATGACAGTGTAAAGCATCTTGTAAAATCATGGCACCTGGTATACTGTCATTTTCAAGAAAAGTGGTATTTTCGTATCAATTTCCAACGCTGGTCGGCCGACCAGCGTTGGAAGAAACTGGCTTTTTTTTCAAATACTGGCCCCAATTGACCATCGCACTTGTTTGCAATCGATTACACACCTATGAACGGGTACAAGCCAGCTAGACTGGTTCCCTGGACCATACAATTCCCCAATGTATGTAAACTGCTCTGTTTCTTCTTATATGGAGTCAGGGAACCAGACTACAGGAAAATGATTGTTTTTCTTGGTTTTTATAGCATTTTCGAACCCAAAACCTCAAAAAAGTCAGTGTAACTATATTTGCTATATATTTCCAACCCCCCAATTCCATCCATTTCTGAAAATTACAGCAAAAGCAAATGATGTATATTCCCTTTAACCACTTGACGCCGGTTTTGTTCGGCCACAGACAGCTGCACTGATTAACGTCTGATTTTACCAGTGTAGCGCCGTCAATTGTCTATGAAGAATTTTTTTCTCTGGGCAGACTTAGGATAATTTGATTCCAAAACAAACTGACCTCCTTTTGTTGTTCCGTCTCCATCTCCTCATCGTCTTTGGTGTCTTTGTCCCTTGACGTCTCGTCTTTCTCGATTCCCGGGGGGCCGTCTGAGCCCCCCTCCCCCTCTTCTTCTTCCTTCTCCGCCTCCATCTTGACCGCCTTGGTCAGGCGGGCAATGAGCTGTGACTTCAGTCCCTTGGAGTTGAGACCGCGGCATTCCAGCTCATGCCGCAAGTCATTCACCTGTGTGGGGAGAGAATTCATAGACATTGGACTTTGTGTATAACATTAGGCCATCAGCCTGGGGGTTTGGTCAGTATCAAATCAGGGCATGAATGATTATAGTGCGCATGCGCAAGGTATACCGCCCCTAGAGTGGTAACAAGCATTTTGATGGACATTTTGGAAAAAAGGGTGATTACACCCAAACAGCTGCCACTGCTGCAATGCTATCACATATTTTACAATGAGTGACAAAGTGCCTTGCCCAAGGGCACACGCACCATGCCCCCGGCTGGACTCGAACCCACAACCTGCAGCTTTACCCGCAGACCACGAATCCAGTGCCCTTAACCACGAGGCCACAGCACTCCACTAAATTGATAGCAAGACCTACGTTACCTTCATTGTTTTAGGGTCCAGCAGACGATAATGTGTCGGGGTCATGTTCACTGAAGACTCAGAACCATCCTCGTCATCCTAAGAAGAAAACACAAACATAAGAATGTCAGACATCGGATCGTGGTAACATCGGAAATATACACTCAGTACAGTAGATGAACTTTTCGTGTTGGATGAAAAGTACGTATCTAAATTTTAAAACCTAACTTTAAAATAATAATTAAGAAAGTCCTGACGTAACCAGAAATATATTAAGCTTGACTAAAATTTTGTTGGTCTGACTTTGGGTCAAAAAGCCTAGGCTGTTTTGCCGATCAATGCTAGGAGTTTGTGGTAAAATAGAAATATTAAAAAAAGAAAAAATTTAAATAGTAAACTTTTAAAAAAGAAAAAATGATGCAATTTCTGAAACTGCATCCTGATCGTTCTGGTGTTTTCGTGGTATGATGGTCTTCGTTTTGTTTCCAAGAAGCCAGAGAGAGGGTTGAGCCTGTGTTTAAATCTGTGAAACGGATATAAGCGTTGAGGTTAAAGGTCACATCCCAAAGGATTATGGGATGCTTTTTTTCCGGAATCAAATCGACTTCGCTGGTTGTACTTTTTGGATTTTTTTTTCGCCTCCTTCCCTGTAGAATACCCGTTCCTTTTGAACGTACTCTGATTTTCAAAAGCCCAGTACACGATTCTGAAAATACAGAACCAGTCAGCGAATGATTGAATTGTGAAACCTTGACCCATGTGCTTGATCTCCAACAAAAAAAGAGGGTCCGTATTTTTGCTTTCAATTTAATTCTTTATTTAAAACCCAACTATGACTGTATGGGTTGGGTGGCTCTACGTAGAAGAATGATGATAATGATGGTGCACTATGAAGTGCCCCCACCCCCCCCCCCCACCCCCACCCCAAAAAAGGCAAAAATATCATTATTTTATTAATTTTTTTTTTTTTAAATGGGGAATAAATGAAGTCTTGTCGAGTTGCACAATAAGCTCCAGGTAAAAGCCATAAGCTTGGTACTCACTGCTACCGAGAAAACGCTGTTTGGATACAAAAGGGTGAAAAAGTTCAACTGGTATGGGGGGAAAAAAAGGGTTGCTGTTTTTGGTGATGTAATGCGTGTTGTAACAAACGTTATAGGTTTAATACTTGTTTGTTTTGGTGATTGTTTTTGCTGTAGATGTAGTTGTGCTTGAACTGAATATGGAAAAAATCAAATGTTGAAAATATCTCAGGAAAACTTGGTTCCAAAAACTGATTAGTTGAAACAGAAGCTGGGATGCGTACTGAATCCTCGAGTTTAGCAAATACTTTCTTTTCTGGGGTGGGCCCAGAAATTGCCGAGAAATTTCTCAACTCATTTTTAATTTTTTTTGCTGCAAGAAAATGGTGTCTCTAATGAAAGATTAAAGATGGACAAGCTGCCAGTGGGTAACACTGAAAAGCTGGTCATTTGTTGGTGAAGTTCATCTGGCAGTGGCGTTGCGAACAGCCATGGGGGAAAAAAATAAGTTTTTGAGATATATATTTTGTGTGATGAGGTGATTTGAGAATGTGTTAATGTAAGGTGGGAGGGTTGTGTTTCGGGGGTTAAAAGTGAGTCTGCAGAAATACTAGTCTCAGTGCCTGTGTGTCGCCGGCCCCGTCCCCTCCAGTGCTGGAGGATTTGCCCGGAGGCTGGCGCTCCTGCGACGCTAGTCTCTCCTCCAGCCGTTTCTTGTAGCGGGCTCCCAGCCCCTCGTACTCCGCCCTGGTGGGTAAAAGATGCCATACATCCGGAACGAAAATAACCACAGTTTCAACACTGGCGGGGACCAGTTGACCCTTGGAGATGCGCTCGGGCCGATGGTAATGGAGGTCGAGAAAGCGGTACCTGGTGGGGGTTTGAATGATAGTGCATTAACGTAAACCCGAGCCAAAGGCTGCGAGTTGGTTTAAAACCTCGAAAACCAACCACCTTAAGATGTACCATAAAAACTAGAAGTCAGGTTAGCGAGAGATGATTCATCAAGTGAGTTTACAGAAATATTAGAAAAAAAAATTATTTTGTGAGGAGGAGGTTTTAATGAAGCAATTTGAACAGATTGTGTACGACCACATGCACAGTAGGACAGAATGCAGATGGGGAGATTTTGTGAGTTTGAATACAAATCAAAATTTGGGTGTTACACTATTTAAAAAAAATTTACTAGAATTAAAGTTGAATTTAAAATCTACTGCCAAGACTCTATGCACTAATGTGAGACAGTCATGAATGGAATGCAACTTCAAATTTGAAAAGATTTTTTTTAAATGTCAATACAAATTTCCAACAATTTCACCCAAAATTATATTTCGCAAAAAAAAAATTCTTCTTTGAAATTCCCATTCCACTCCTAAATAAGAAATAAAAAAAAAACCAAATATTGAGGTTTTTCTTCCATTTTGGGTATCAATTCCATGTTTTTTTTATTTTTATCTTTTTTTCTTTTTTTTTGGCGTAACCAATTCCAGTTTGAACCAGTCTTAGGTAGTCCACTTCCTGTTTGTTGTGAACGTAAATTAAATTGTGGATTTCTGAACATAAGCTTTGAGAGGCACTCATGAATTAAAACAAAACAAAATTATCATTGCAACAAAACTGTTAGCTTCACACTACCACAACAGCAAATTGCAATTCATGGCCGAACTGTTCCCTTGTAATCATGAAAATGTATCCACAAAAAACCTACTATCTCAAAATTTGCATAAATTCTGGCCAGGTAGCGTATCTTCCAAAGGCACAACCAAATAGTTCAGACCTTTACATATTCTCAAACCTTCTAGTTTATGAAATAGCTGAGAGTTATTGTAACTAAACTGATGGAACATCAAGAATGGGACCCAAACATTCTCCCTCTTTCTAAAGAGTGTTGCCAGCGAAGGTCCACAGTGATTTGATAGATCCCAACATTACAAAACAAATTTCCCAAATGGTCATGTTCGTTACTTGTCACCTTTTAACAACAGTGATTAGCAGTGTATGCACCTCAGATACAAACTCAACTGAAATCTAGACGCACCAGCGCGTCCCCACCCCACCCCCGCACCCATCTCCGAGTCAAAGGTAAAATGTAGGGCCCTCTGGCAAAATCAGACAGAACTGCGCACAGGCCGTAATGCAGAAAAAAGCCAAAAACGGAAAGAGGGCGACTATTTTTCTCAATAGTTTAACTCCTTTTGCTATACATGTATGTTTGGTGTGCATGAGGTATATGTACTATACTGGTGGATTTTGATGGACTCAATGGTGGATTCTGATGGACTCACTGGTGGACTCTCATGGACTCAGGACACCAAAATTGTTTGCATCACAAAACTGGCTGATCTTGGCGGATTCAGGATACTTTCTCGTAAAAGTGCTCAAGAGGTTCAGGTTAAACATCCCTAACTTGTCAACGGAATGTCCCACTGAAGTGCTACAAACAGTATTGTAAGAAGAATGTTATTCTCTTTCCTAAAAACCGCAAACCCTCATTTCGACCTCTGCCCTGTTCTGTCTCATTTTGCCAGAGCGCCTCACAAATCACACCTTCATTACCGTCTCAGCTTTGAGGTATTTGGAAGTGGACACAGACTATACAAGGAACAGACAGACCCATTGGGCCATGCACGCTGCGCATGTAGGCAACCTCACGTGTGCCTCTCCAATGAAACACTGCATATTCAAAATGGTGCGCCTCACCCTCGTACGCCTCGTAATTTTCAAAACGTTGAAATGAAACCCAAATTATAAAAAAAGGACCTAACCTCACGCGATCTTCCTTTGAGTTAAACATGCATGTATAGCACAAATAATTAACCATGTTCTCAAACTTGTTTAATTTACAAAACCTTAGAAGCACCGCAGTGCTAGATTACAAGCAAGGTACAAGTACTGAGGTTTTTACTGCTGGTCTGCAGACATGCATGTAATAGGCAGGCCTCAGCTTTTGTGTAATGGCTAAACATTTAAACGGCTAACAAAAAAGTTGTGGTACATGTACATATGCACATCAATAGTGGGTTGACACTACCTGTCGCAACCCCATGCAAAAACAATCAGGAATCTCGCAGCTGATGATGTCGGATCTCGAAGGCTTATGTCCCAACTTTTATTATGAGCTCGAGAATACGTCACTGGGTCAGCGCTGTGTTGCGTTTTGACGCATCAGCGAGGGCGCCAAAGCATTTTGCTCAAGCAATTTAACAAACATGTCTATGTCAATTAAGGTTAAGCGATGTTGACTCATATTAGGTTTTGCCCTTTACCATGTTTACAGACGTATAAACACTGTGTACTCAGTGTGTTACCTCCCGAATGAAAGTTGGACAAATCACTCGGGTGGGACTCGAACCCACGACCCCCTGCTTTCTGTGAAACCACTCCATATTTACTGCCTTACCTTTCACATACAGCCAGGCTATGTCCACCAATCAAAACAAAAGTTCACAAAGGTTCTCTCAGATGCCAATTTCCTCAAAACCAATATTTCTTTATCCCCAAAGGCGCCGTGCTTTCCCCTTTTCAATATTATTAACGCAATCCTCGACCACTTACCTCCTCAACTAAGATAAACTACACACAATACAAAACTCAATATTTGAGATCTAAAATAGACTACAGTACTTATAATTTAATGATTTTAAGGATGCTCCTTGACTTAAGATTCCTGCCCGAGTTTTGATATTAAGACATGCATGAGAGATTGTAAGAGACATACCAGTGTAAGCATTCACTCAGGTCGACTCCCGTCAGTGCCTTGGTGGTGCGAATAGCCGTCTTGATCAGCACGGTGCTGTCGTTGACGGGATCGGGACCGTCTAGCGACGGGGACCAGGGACCCCCAATGGCCATGGCCTCGTTCTTGCCCTTCTGTCCCACCAGGAAGTTGATGAGACGCGTCGGGTGTTGGAAGTTTTCCCGGACGTCGCTGGCGTCCTGGGGCCGAGAGCAGCACTGCTCGTACAAGTCCTCCAGGGAGGACGATGCCATGAGCATTACCTTCAAATTGATCAAAAACAGCAGGCGTGAGTTAAACCAATAATCAGGTGTAATAATAATGTAAAGTGCTTTGATCTTAGTTAAAAGCATTTTAAAAGTACCTGTAGTTGTTATTATTACAGTAAACTCCGGCTAAACTGACATCGTACAACTCGTCAAATCCCTAATCCGTTATGCATTTAAATTGGATTTTTTATTTCTAAGTTGGCTTTTATAAGTCGCCATTTCGCTCAAGTCGTCGTGTTACTCTCGGTCCCCTTTCCATAAAAAGCATTACAAAATCCTTTGTGTAAGTCAGCATTCAACAAATCACGCATTGGCATCGACTTCCTGTACTGCGGTTGGCAAAGTGTCAAGTGAAAAGCGGTTTCGCATGGCCCGTGATTGCTGCATGCATCGGTGTCGAAAAAGGGTGTCCTACTGCATACATCGCATATGCATTGTGAGCATATCAATACCAGTACCGCCTCTCGGCTGTACGCATGCGCTCTGTCCATTTTGGGGGTCGTCGTATTGAATAACTGCTGCTGCAGTCAATGCGTGCGTGGTATATACCGGACCACGCATGCTTTTCATTCCTTACTGTGCACGTACATATGTATCGTGGTCTCCACTATCCATGCCCCAAACGTGATGATACAATTCGAGGATTAATTTGCTGGATTCAACTCAAGCATTAAGGAGATAATCCAGGGTAAATCGAAGCCAATTAGTGCGATGAATCATGTGTGCAAAAAGGCCATTCATGTAAGTCGGCAAAATGACGACTTACAGCAGATGTCAGCATTCGCGTAAGTCGTCACAAATTCTCGGGTCCCGAGAGTGCCGGTTTAGCCGGAGTTTACTGTACATGCTGAGGCTTTTGGTCATGTTGGTGTGAACGCTTATTTGAATTTCATCTATTATGGCTAATATTTCCAGGTGTGCTTTCTTGCACAGAAATGAACAGGGGGATCTGACTACCTTTGCAGAGTATTTGTAGCTTGCGTCTGCAGGCTCCAGGACTGTGTCGTTCTTGTCCAGGGCCTCGACGTCTTTGCTCATGACGTGGAAGGTGCAGCTGTTGCCGATGCCCAGGGGCCTTGAGAGAGGGAAAGCGTCCTGCCAGGTGAAGGTGGAACGGAAGAAATCGCTGGGGATGTACATGTTGTTGTAACGCTTACGCAGCTCTATCACATTGGATTGGTACCTGAATTATTAGAAATGGTAACAACACAAGAATGCTGCAGACATCTTGGTCTAGTTTCTGGAAGGCATGTACATGTACATGTATAACAATCATAATCAACTGTGTCACTATCTGGCAGTGGTGAACCAAATGGTTGTTAACCCACCTAGTCTTATGCACTTAGGCCAAAAAAAAAAAATATTCGGTCTCTGGTCAGACCAAAGTTCCGGAATTGACGCGGCGACGCGCTTTTTTTCTTTCTTCAAGCTTGGATTGTACAGACAAGGTTCGGTACTATTTTGCTTTTTTGGTGTCCTCATGAATATTGGTGTCCTCCATAACTTGCCTTAATGCTTTCGATCATTTTCCTTGGTGCAATTTCCCTTTCCTTGGTGCTCTTTGGCAAAACAAATTGAGGAGGTGCGGAAATAGAGGGCGCTGTTGGAGCTACCGCGGAACATTTTGGAGAAAAAAAAGGTCGATGCGCATGATTAAAATCAACACGCACGCTGACCAGAGACCGACTTATTATTTTGTTTGGCCTTATCTTCAGGTTTTGCAAAGACACTTTTGCCTATGGAGTTAACACCCACAGGTCAAATTCCTTCAAGGTAAGCTTCTTTGGAAAATGGAAACACTTCATATCCCTGCATAATTCTTGTGTGTGGTTAAGCTCAGGGCAAGCAGGATTAATGTAAATTTGATTAACCGTCGCCAACATACTTTTAACACTTTTGAATTTTTTTTGAAATTACACACTTACACATCCAGCGAATGTTTAGCAATCTGCACCACGTAGCGTGGGACTGGGCGACGACTCCTCTTTGGGGATCTCCGTGGGGAGTACGAGCGATGATGCACTGGGGGAGACTTCTCCCGCTCCTGACGTCTCCTCTCGCGTTCCCGATCTCTCTCCCGTTCTCGTTCCCGTTCGCGTTCCCGATCCCGTTCACGTTCGCGCTCCCGTTCGCGTTCCCGTTCGCGTTCTCGTTCTTGCTCCCGCTCCCGCCTGCGCACTTCGCGTTCTCTCTCGCGTTGGTCGTAGGATGAGCGCAGTGGGTCGGCGCGGACTGGATCCGGGCGACGCTGGACTTGGAGGGGTGGGCCTTGGGGATGGGCTAGTAAGCCTGGTCCACCTGTTGAAGGGAGCAAGAGTAAATAAAACTGGAATCCTGTTTCAGAGTAATTGTCCTTGTTTATTAACTCAACAAAGAATCTGAAATGATTCAAATTTTGGAGAGAAAAAAAACGAAGATCCGAAGGAGAGGAGCTACTCACCAGGTCCAGAGGGCGCTATCACAGGGGCCATTCCCTGCGCATGTTGGGCCAAACTGACCTGGCCTTGCATTCCCATGACTGTCGGGGGTGCCTGACCCATCAAGCCTTGGCCTGGCGGGGCCTTCAAGAGAGGAACGCTCTGCTGTTGCTGTGAAGAGAGAGGATGGAAAAAACAGTCAGGAGTTAATAACAAGGGGATAAAAGTGTGATGAAGCAGTTATAAACGTGTCAGTTTCCCGGAGTTTGTGGTTTATTTGAAAATTTGTCATAGAAAGCCATATCCTCCGTGAGTGATCCTCGTTTGCTATTTCCAAGGTTTCGTGACTTTGGGCGTGATCCCTGGCTGCATGGCATACAGGTTTATGACTTCTGACTAGCGTCCCTTGAACAAAGATATTGACAAATTGGGAAACTACCAAATAGGGCTGGATAGCTCAGTTGGTAGAGCACCGGAACGGTTATCTGGAGGTCGCAGGTTCAAGCCCGCTCCAGTCAATTTCTTTGTTCAACTTAATAAAGGGTTAAAAACCGGTGAGGGGGCCCGAGCCGAAGGCCAGGGCTATATCAGTGACCAGGCCCCTAACCGGTTTAAAACCACTCGTTTACAACTGCTCAGTTACACTTTTATCTCCATTCATATAGGGTGCAGACCAGTAAATCGGTCCGAAATTGCCTGCGCCGGCCAAATCACGATTTGCATGCCCTCAAAATCTTCGGTATTTGGGCATGCTGTGGGCCATGAACTTGAGGGTTTGTAAAAAATATGGGTGGAAGCCGTGCACAGGACTGGGAGCTTGCAGTTCTGTGTTATTTTGATGTAATTTAGACCCTAAAAGCGCTCTATTTTGCAATGGAGTGTAGACATCGTTTTCAAAATGGCGATGGCTTCAGGACTATTTTCAGCGGTGATCGTCTTCAGATGGAAATTTCTCCTAAAAGTCATCAGTTGACCCCCCGAAAATTGAAAAGAAAATGAAAGTTGATGAAATAAGCTTTAATTTGATGTGTGTCTCGAACACCTTGGAGAGTTGTGAGTATTTACCATTGGGGTCTATGGAAGTTTATTTACTGGTCTGCTACCATAAATACCTTTTTGGTTAAAAACCATAAAAAGTCGAAAAGTTGACAAAGCTCTGACGGTTTTGTGCTCCCATTTTTACTCCGTGTCCAGGACTTTTCTATGGTGCGTGTGGTGTAAGGGTGCAGACATCTCTTCTTTTATGGAGATCATATCAGTGGCTCTCAAGTTGGCGGAGCGAGGAGCGTGTACTGCGTGTATGTGGTGCAGAGCGCGGGCCCTCGTGACTGGTTTTAAACATCACTGACTGGTTTTTAACCGGCAGTTTAAAACCACCCAGGTGATGGGCTCTCAACCAATAGGAATGGGAAAACTGTCTCATGTATTTATAAATGCCCGTTTCAGAATAGCATTACAGATTTGAGCCAAACCTTGGTTGCGTTTTCCGCTGCTTTATCAGATTCGAACCAGCCAGCTGATCCCAACAAACACTGGTTGAGTGGTGAGATGTCTGAACTAGCAAGCAGGAGGTTGTGGGTTAGAATCCCACCGAGTGAGCTTGTGAATATTTTCTTGCATGCCCTTGGACAACAAGTCTAAAAGTGTGATCAAGTGATCTACCACGGTCCTTAGACTAAATGTCTTGATGCAATTGGTCTATGCGCACTGGGGTAAACCATTTTTCATCCTTTAGCTTTTGGGGAAGGATGTGAATTAGGGGTGGGGGGGTGGGGGAGGGGGTTATCTTACCTGACTTGGCAATACTTGTATCCTGGTAGCGTTCCACTTGAAGGGCATGTTGGGATTGTAGGTTGCTTCAACTAACACTCTTTCCATTACTTTGGGCATCGGGCCTTTCACTGAACTGTTTACCGGGAAAGCAGATTTGCACATTACAATTATTGTCATCATTTTGACAAAGTGACACAGCTGTCCAAAACTGAGATTTTCTGAAATCTGAGATTTTTGGATATTCTATCATTTTATGATGTCCTCTACATGATTACCAAATTTCGAGACACAACATTCCATCGTTTGTTAATTACGCTAATTGCACAAAGTGTTGAAAGTGCTACACACTAAGTTTTTCGTTTTGACTAAGTGACGGATCTCTCTGTGTCACTTCTGTCTCATTGATTTTACACGTGTGCTATTAGAAATATGAAGCCTCTATGATTTGCGTTTTGACGAAGTGACGCATCTGCGTTCTAAAATGTATAAACTTAAGTACGCGCACGCGCTGTGTACAAACACATGCCTCATTTTTGTGAAGAAGTAGATTTTCCGTTTTGACGAAGTGACGGATATCTTTAGTAATATATATTTTCTAATTAAACACGATTTTATGAACAGAGATAATTGTTTTTGGCTATTTAACTCCTGGGCTATTGTCTCAGTAACCACCAACTTCAAACGCCATTTTCTCAAAACTTGGTTTTGCATCTGCGTGCACAGATGTGTCACTTCGTCAAAACGGTGACATTATGCCTAACATGTTGAAAATTTGAACATGAAAAAAAAAAGGATTTTAGATAAAGTACAGAAGTAATTTCCAGACCTACACATTGATTTTTCCCTTCCAAATTCCAATAACCTAAGAGTTTTGTATGCAGGATGGAGCAAAACTCACAAATGTGATGGGCTGTAGTTTGTATACATGTCAATTCTTTTGGACAAAAAATAGGGAAATTAACCTTAACTCCCCAGCATGATTTACTAGGAACCATACCCATCCTGGCAAATTCCAACACCATATGGGAAACTGCGCACGCATATTTCTGACTTTTGATTCTGGAGGTGTGCCAACCCAATGTAAAAGACTGTCAGTTTAGGGGTACTGTACCCATCCTGACAGATTCCAACAAAACATGCCGTTGGGGTTTGATGGGTTGAGTTCTGTTAGGGTTAAATTTGTCATCAATAATTACAATTTTGTTGATTGCAGTATACCACTTAACATGAATATGTGCTATATACTTTTTACCCAAAGGAAGATTGTGTGAATGTAGGTCCTGTTTATATAATTTGGGTTTTGTTTAAATGTTTTGGAAAATTTGTAAATGGGTTAAGAATTTTGTTTCTTTATGAAACGTGCAACACCACACCCTTGACACTAAACACGCTATGGTGACGTCGACTCGGCACAGGCCTACGTAACTCCATGTTTAATATAGTCAGCCTGTCACAAAAATATTTTATGTAAGATGTTCAATATCAGTCCAATCTTTATTTTTTTCTTGGTAATGCTATGTAATTGGGTTATTCACATTTTTTTTTTGGGGGGGGGGTTTAATTGCGAATGATTCTTTGGAGCTGATCAAAGTTCAAAAGGTTTACTTACGTCGTCTGGAAGAACACGTCCTCATCCACAAAGCCAAACGTGTCGTGCATTTTGGTGACCGTTCCGGTGAAGACGCGCTGCTTGGGTTGGGGTGCCTGGGTGGACCGGGGGGCCGGGTAACTCACCGTCAGTTGGGTGGCCGACACGCCCACTGCGCCTTGGGAGGTCTGGGCGAGGGTGGGCGCGGCGATGTTCGATTGAAGTGCATTCATCTGGTTGAACCAGCAAATAAAATTTACTTTACAAAAAATACTTCATGAACAGCAATTTTTTTTATAAAAAACCAAGTAATTTAGAATTGAATGTCGCCTCGATTGCTCACAATCCGCTAATTAAAAGTTGATCGTGGTAAACTTTTTACATTGAAAATTTGAATTAAATTTTTGGAAGAAAAACTACCAAGCATGATAACGGTTCAATTGTATAGAAACAGCACAGAGTATTGACTGATCTACATGTAGTTACAAAACAGTTTTGATGTAAGTCAAGTGAAAGTGCTCAGGCCAAAAAAACATAATAGTTCTGCTTCCGATTACATTGCATTCGAAAATAGGGTAGGGTAGGCAGGGAATTTTTTATAATTTTTTTTGGCCAATTTTTTTGTGTTACGGTCATATGAAGGCGTCTGCGTGTAGTCAAGGGTAAAAGGTATAAAGTGATGGTTTTGGGTGTTTTTTGGTCATTTTTCCAATAAAAAAAAATAGGGTAGGGGCTGTCAAATTAGGGTAGGTAGGGAAACCGGAAGCAGAACTATAATTTTTGATGGCCGCAAAAGTCATTTTTAGGGCACTATAACAAGCTTTTTCGTAGATGTGTCATCTCGGCTTATTGTCATTGCTGCACAAAGCATTGTGGGACATGTAAGGGCAAACCGAAGGATGAAATGAATCGTTCTACTTCATGGATCTTCAAAACTCTAATAAGCTTTGGCCACAGACGTCTTAAGTAAAGTCTGTCACGAGCAAGTAAAGTCTGTCACGAGCCAGTAAAGTCTGTCATGAGCCAGGGTATATCTCTGATTTCATTTGGCATGAAATGACGGAGATAATTTCTACTCCCCCTGGATGGGATGCTGGTCCATCGCAGGTTACTCCCCAGCTAACGCCAGTACCCATTTATACTCCTTGGTGGAGAGGGGCAAGTGGGATAAAGTGGCTTGCCCAAGGACACATGGCCAGCAGCTGGATTCGAACCCCTGACCCTCTGATCATGAGTCATGAACCCTAACATCTTGGCCACACTCCCCCTCCATATACTCCCACTGGCCATGCATGTATCTGCCCCATACAATTTATACCAACTTGACATTCAGCCAGCTTTGTAATTATGAGTTATGCCTTGAGGATGGTGTTAAAACATGTGTAATCATATGCAGAATCTGGTATTTTGTGGCTTTGTCTGCTATTTTTGCAATTGCTGTTTCACAAGGGACCTACGGCTTTACATCCCATCCGAAGGACGAGGCAATTATAGTAAAGTGCCTTGCTCAAGAGCACAAGCACCGTGTTCCCACGGTCAGGATTGGAACCCATGTACCACAGCACACGAGTCAAACACCGTAACTATTGGACCACAGCACCCCATACAGCCTTTGCTGGATTTTGAAAGTCTTGCAAGAATGTTGATTACTTTTGAACTGAATTACCTGGTTGACTTGAATCTGCTGCTGTTGGGCCAGCAGCTGCTGCTGCTGCTGTTGTTGCTGTTGTTGTTGCTGCTGTTGCTGTTGCTGTATTTGATAAGCGCTGGCCTGGGATATGCTCTGGGGCACCCCTGGCCCACCGATCTGGCCGTAAACGCTGGCTGGGGCTGCTGCCTGCGGGTTACTGATTAACGCCGGTCCTTGAGCAGACATAACTGCATGACCTGGGACATAGTAAAAACACAAGACCATGCCATATTGTTGGAACACAACATAACATAACAGCGACAGCAATTTCAGGTTACGGGTTCAGCATGTAAAACTATAATAAGGCTGTGCTCAATATTTTAAAATATGTGATCATCAACTGAGTATTTGAACATTGCACTCACAAATATTCATTATTTGTTTAACATTTGCACTCATTTCGGCTTCCTTTCAAAGACCTGCTCATGTTCGGAGTATTTAAAAGTTGACGAAATTAATAGATTGTACTTACCCATGCCGGCTGCACCCAGCTGTGTCCATGGGGGGTCCTTTCGGGCTGTGGGCCCAAAATGTGCCATGTTTGCCGTATTGTTGCAGTCAAGGAACCATACGCAAGACAGCAGTCACTGCACAGTTTGAGAAGGATGAAAAAATATTTGTTTGATATTTTGAACTCATGCCCTAGTTCCCGACTCCCTTTTATCGTTCAAAATGCACTTGCGTTTACAAACGTGATCCAGTCCACTCATTATCATAATCGATGCATCATGCGCGATCGGTAACGGAATCGCACTCGGGATACGGGGACCATCGAATGAACGCTGGGCATGATGACCACATCGCAATTCCAACGCGAGTCGGAAATTTAACGTGTTAACGATCACAAGGGGAGCTCTCGGAATTGAACGGGAAATTTCACTTTTTATCCGGATCGTAAGTAAACTTCAATACAACCATCTTAATCATCGATGCCTAATTGTACCTCAGGTGGCGTATCTAGTAATTTGGAGGCCGTTTTGAGGGTGAAATCTGATGTTTTTTGGGGGGCAATGTTGGGTTTTGGGGTAAATGACAGAATTGTGTTTCTTGGCATATGAATTAGCTTGGGCCCTACTATCGCCAGACCATGTCCATGATGTCCGAATGTTAAAAAAGGCGATAAGTTGGGTCCAAGTTATTCGGACTACACTGAACTAAGCCTACAGGGGCGCATTAGGCAGTTTCAGGACTGTTTTGGGGGTGAAATCTGAAGATTTTGATAGGGGGTACGAGTGAAAATGGTCAAAATAGGTTATTGGTATCGCCATGTACTCTAAGATCCAAGGACCCTACTATCGCCTGACCATCTTCAAATGTTTAAAAAAAGGCGATTCGTAGAGTCCTAGTTACTCGAACTAAATCTGGGACTAAGAAACATTACCAGTTTTGTAAGAAATACTTAGAACATTTTCTGGACACTCCATAGACGTACAGCGGTTGTATACAAAGACAACCGCTGAAGTGTAGCATCAGGTTGCAACATTCTTTCCAACATGTCCAACATGTCCAAAATGGTAAAATACTTCAAAGTATATTTTCCCTGCTAGTGCTATTGTGCTAAATTTGACTTTTAGGACATATCACTCTCTGACGGCTGATACTAAGGTCACTGAAGAGAAAAAGTAGTGACGGCCAGATATGAGAATCTTTCCAGGTACAACTATAGAATACAGGGCCACTCCATTCTATCCGCGCATCCATGGCTGCGTGGACGCGCAGTCGGTTTTCTATAGCGCCCTCTATTTATTAAATTTACTTCATGCCCACTCCGCATCCGCGCATCCAGGCATCAAATAAAGCGCCCTCTATTGATTGAAATTAACTTCATGCCCACCCCGCATATCCACGCATCCAGGCATCCAATAAAGCGCCCTCTATTGATTAAAGTTAACTTCCACGCATCCGCGCATCCACGCATCCAAGACGGAATGAGACGGTAGGTTGGGGTTGGTTTTAAATAAAGCGCCCTCTATTGATTGAAATTAACTACATGCCCACCCCGCATTCGCACATCCAGGCATCCAATAAAGCGCCCTCTATTGATTAAAGTTAACTTCTGCGCATACGCGCATCCACACATCCAAGACAAAAAGAGAGGGAAGGTTGGGGTTGGTTTTAGATAGGGAAATAAAGCTGTGGGTCCTAGGGTAAATACAGTAGAGGGTCGTGGGGTAAATAAAGCGCCCTCTATTGATGACTTCATGCTCATCCACCCCGCATCTGCGCATCCGCACATCCACGCATCCAAGACATCCGAAGCCGTCTCACTCGGTATATTATACTACATATTTGTCAATAATTCACTCTTTATACAGCCCTCAATTTTTTTTTTATACATATCTACATTCATACCGTTCCCAAACCCACGTACGCATAGAAGTCTCATATTTCAACGTTGCTTCGCTCTCCGCCCTCTATTTTTTTTTATACATAGATCTACGTTCATACGCATAGGAGAAGTCTCATATACCAGCGTTAGTTTGTTCTCAAAAGAGTGCCATTCTACTCAACGACCCCACTCCTCACATCGCATCCAACTACAGAAAAACCCTTTTTCAGCTTGGCCCTGCATTCTATAGTTACTCCTCTTTCCAAGACGTGAGTCTGGGACTGAGAATTTTTTCCAATTTTGTAAGAAAATACAGTCGTTTTCCTAGTTCCGGATTTTTCCTAGTTCCGGATCGCTTCAAATAAAAACCTACCTCTTTTTGATTAGTCTCCAATAAAAAAATCTGATGGAGTGCATTTTGAAAAGGAAAATGTAAGCTTCTTGATACCCAAAGATCTTTTCGATAAAATCTTTAGAAAAGGAATTTTGGCCAGATTTCTGACTCGCACTCTGACATGTTTTGGACGGTTTAAAGAAAATCACGGGAGCTGCGAATCGACGATAAATTTTTTTCTCGGTATATCTCTCGTACCGTGTGGTTTGGAATATTTTTGTCATTCACTACAATCGTATAAACTCTTCCATCGAATGTTTGTTCAATCAAAATAAGTTGTAGCGTCTCTAATATTTGAAAATTCGCCAACGAATGACCGTGTGCTTTTGCCTAGTTCCAGATCACGCGTGCACATACGACCCAACTACACACGCGTTAATCAATTTTGTGTGACGTACTTCTGTGCCGTGTGCAAAGTTCTCGGTCTGTGCGGAGTTCGTGCCGTTGCACTGCAGACAAAAGTTTCAAAATTATTTACGTTAATTCTCTTTTGAAAATTTGCTGGAATCCTCTTGAATGAACTATTTTTGGAAAATTAAATAATACTTTATCAGAAAATGTGTTTGATTCGGGGTGGTTCTGGCCGAAAAATAGATTTTCACGCCCTAGGCCTATCTTCATCACTCAAGGTAAACTTTTAAACCAATGTCACTGGAATTCGTGGAGTAGTTGAGCCGAAAGCAGCCTGAATGATGTTTGCTATCCGGAACTAGGAAAACGACTGTACTTTGAAAATGCACTCGACTCTCCATAGACTTTGTACACAACCACCACAGGGCACAGAAGGAATTCCGCACAGAAGTGGCGTCCGGAATTTGGGCAACATAATGGTGCTACAAATTAATTGACTTCTTACCTCTCAACGTCCGGAACGTTTCTTTATGATTTCGAAGCGCTCTTCTGTAGCAAGACTGATCGATTAGAAAACTGATTTGTCCTCAAAATTGTGTAAAATTTGGCTCGAAACGTGACGCACTTTCACGTGAAGGCAGGTAGAACGACCATTATGCATTGTGTAGCCGGTATGCAAATTAAAGCGCAATGCATGGTGGGTAGATTGACGTTATAATTAATATTCATAAATGCAAGTTGCGTTCGATGACGTGCCATGGTATGGTGCACGTGGTCCAGTATGTTCCATTTTCTCCCCGCTTGACTAAATATAATAAACGATAAATTAAGAATCCGTTCAGAAGTCGTTTGGAATTATTTTGTCCTTAATTGGATCTTTAAAAAAACGCAGGCAATCAAAACGTCAAATTCTCGCCGCATGGCGCCCCCCCCCCCGGCCCCATTCAGTTCAGCGGCTGGCCCTTATGATTCTAGTAAAAATGATACTTGAAAAATAGAATTAGCTGTTGCAAACTACTTACCAACCAAAAGGACCTATGGTATAAATGCAAAAAAATACAAAAGTTGCAAAAATGATATTTGTAACATGTCGGAAAAAATCGTAAATGGAATGCTGAAATTCCTAAGTCCATTCTCGAATTGCCTAAGAATGAAGGAGAAAGCATATCGTAGATTTTCGGGGTGGTGGGGGGGGGGGATGTACACCTCCCCCTTGCAGGGCGTGCCTTATTTTGGTATGCCTTCACTCACCCCCCCCCCCTCCTCCCTACTTCATATCCCCCCCCCCCCCGGGTTATGAACCGATCCGCCCCTGTTCCTCACTTACTGTCATGCTGTTCATCAATTTCTTATATTTTCTTCTTGCGAATATATTACCCCCTGCCCTCTACTAATTCAATTACTTAATTATTGTCATTATTATTGTTATTATATACAAATATATTTTGGGGGTGGGTGGGCCCTGGGGTGGGTCGGGGTGGGGGTACCACGTTTGTCGTATCAGTTATATCGTCAATGCATGTTAGTACACATCACTCACTGCGTTTTAGCAACAGCGCCCCCAATCCTCCCCACATAAATGCCTAAAAAAGTTTGGTCCAGACGAAACGTACACATTCAGGGTGAATATAAAAACACAAGTGCATGGGTCAGCTTCCCCCACCCTAACCAACCCTTCCCTCAGCCAAAATATTTACGTTAACTTATAAAAACAACGAACCCACCCTTCTAAAAATGTGGAACGATATGTTTTATATTTTGTAAAATTTATAATGAAACTGTGACAGGGGAAAAAAAGACGACTGACGCGGTCTACTGTTCTTCAGAAATATCTTCTTTTAATATTTACAGTTTGTTCAAGTGCGTGACCGCAATTGCGATTTCAATATACAAGTATCATAAATAGACTAATTATACACAATGCGAATTCACAAACACGAAACACTGAAAGTCTTTTAATAAGGGTGGAGTTGCAACATGGAAAGCAATATGACCAGACACTGCCATGCACATCAATCTGAGCTGCTTCGATTGGAACAGCCTATACAGCTTTAGCTCATTGTTTGCATTATTCTATAGATCTATATATCTCTTTCTAGTTTCAACAGAGATATGGAAAGATTACGATGCTTTCTTCAAGTGTTTACGCATTCGGCAGCGGATATCAGTGATATTTTCGATATCCAGTTCAAACAAAAATGGCCAATCTCATTGTAGGCCAAGTTAAAAACGCCCTTTGCACGCTCCGCCATAAGCATGCAGAACCTCGATCTGGCAACTGTACATGATAAAAATAGCCGGTTAACCCCGACACGGGAATCACTGAACCGTCTATATTTATTGTGTAAATCTGCCCGATCTAGGCTCTGCATGCTTATGGCGGAAGCGTGCAAAGAGCGAATTCCCGGTTGATCGTCCCCGCCCGCATCCTTTTTGGAAGCCACAGGCTTCTATGTTCTATTTTTTGCTCACCTCAAAATGCACTTTTTGTCATGCTTAAAACATGCATAAATTGGGTAAAATACATAGAACGTTTTTTAACACTAAATATTTTGACTCTACTTACGTTACTAGTAAGATAGCTAATAAAACGCTTGAGGTCATTTGACCTGAAAAGTTGGCGGCCATTTTGAATTTAAATCCATGGCGGCAATCTTGGAAAAAAATTATTTTAAAAAGCCTGCATCTTCCTCTTTTTGAAGAAACCCGGACGATCAACTGGTGCGTTTTTTACTTGGCCTATAAGATTATGACTCTTCTCAAAATTGGTTTAATCGAGCTTTTCCATTTCAATATATCTTCGAACCTCGGGAAAAAGCCGTGCCGTTGATTCGTGCAGTGACCGTTGGAATTACTTGAAAGACAAATATATAAATTCTTAGGTCTGCTAATACTGTGCACCTCCTCTTGCTCGACACAATGGCATCGAAATTTCGCAAGCATTGGGAATAAAGACAAAAAGGACGAAGGTATTCAATGCCAAAAATTGAAAAGTCGTAAAACTATATACTATTCGTACATCACAAGTATGACAACTATTCAAAACGGGTTGATAAGGGGGCTTGCATTGGACAAAGGTTTAGAAAATTATCTAATTTTGCGGTGAACAATTTAATCTTTATAATGCAGAATTCCTAGTTTCTACATTCTCACTGCGGAAAAACTCAGTTTACGGAATAATTATGACATTGTTCGAACACTTTTAAACATCAAATAAACATTTTGTATTAGGAAGAACAAAGTTTCATATACGATAAAGAATCAGCCTCATAAGTAGAGTAATGAGATAGACGCCCTTTGCGGACACATAGACGCAAATAAGACAGTTTCTACACTAATTAACCTTGTGACAGAAGGCTTTGTTTTAAAAAGCTTACATTAAAAAACAACGCACACATTCACGGCCACTACACAGGTGACGTCACGTATCCGTATAGTTTCAGTCACTCGTCCCAACCGCCCTAAAATCCAAGAGCACTCGACCTTGTCCCCAGGGCCTACCTTGTTTGCATCCTCGTTTCGAATAGTAAGCTCTATAGGATTTGGACTTGCATCCTGTATCCTGATTCGATAGCACAATTAGCCGATATCGTGTAATTTGGTGCTCTTATTTCCAATGTGAATTACGTTGGGTTTTTTTGCACGTTCATTGGGGCGTGGTTGACAGAATTCGGGCGATTCACAATGCAGTTCGCCACCAAGAGTTCGCCATGGAGAGTCCATTTTTCTAGTTTACGGTCGACAAAACATGGCCCATTTGAATGAGTGTCAGTAGACAACTTGAACTATTTTGTTATACATGTAGATTGGGGCATAGCGTTCTGCCGCCTCAAAAAAAAAAAAACACATTGATAAAAAGAAAACAAAAGGGCAAACAGATACTCGAATCAATCCTTTACGAAATTACTGACTGGAAAAACGAACAATTTCAACGCTTTGAATTTGTCGACATTCTCCCACAATGCACTGGGAAAAATGAAATCTTCGTGGCAAACTCTTGGTGGCGCACTGCATTGTGAATCACCCGAAGTTTATGGTTAATTGTACATTATTTGCCTGCGTATGAGCTCACCGTTGTAACTTTCAACGTAATGTCTTCATGAACGACCGGTGATGATAAAAGGATGCATCTTAATGAGCAACTCATCAACATTATATAATACCTCGAGTATCTGCGTAATATTATTACAATATTATAGTATAAATAATTATTTTAAAGCAGGGTGATCACTAGATCATTACGTTTATCATCAAGTTACAGGCCTAGATTCAAATACTATTGAAATTCAATATACGGGCGTGTTATCAGTCACATACCTAATTGGTTTATAAATCCAAAAACGAGTTATAATTTCATCTATTTGTATTTGAAATTTTGGTGAGTTGTACAGCTTTTTCCTTTAAAAGGAAGCACGAAATATATGTTGAAGTCCTGGCGTATTCGATGCGAGAACACCTTATTTTTTCTTATTTTTTTTTTGGGGGGGGTGTCTTTTTTTTCAAGCCGTGTTCACTTCCTGAAATGTTTTTAATTCTGGCCGCATTCGTTTTTAATTTATACATTAGTCAAGAATATAAACCCTTGGTTCCCAACACCCTTTAAAATTGAGGAAAACGGCTGATGGGACAGTATAATTGTTGACAAGGGCAAAAAGAGGAAACGCCAGCAAACGAGCATTAGAATGAATGTCAGCGTATGAAAAGTGTGGCCAATCAGTTTTGTCACATTTCAAAATACCGGAGTTTCCATCAGACTTTAATAACTGGCCGAATTCCGGCCCAAAACCGCCTCAACTGTCCAAGCTGGGCCTCCGTCGTTACGGTATCCACTTGTCACATAGCACCAAATTGGTAAGACAAATACAACTAGCTTTTGCTTTCTTGTGACCAACAAAATACATCCGTTGTTCTACTGTTGTTCGTGTATTTGTCTTTCTATGCGTGGCTTGGTGTGTGTTTCATCAAAGCATGCTGGTGCTCTCTACAACGGTGCCGTCCGTTACCTGTGACGAGCAGACAGACTTATTTGGCTTCACCTACAAAACAATCAATCAATATTAACCAAACTTGATAATTATTCATGACAAAGGGACGTTCGGGGTTGTGCCATAGGCCCGCCCACCATTGTGGTTTGTGTACATTTCTTCACTGTATACGTGTGATCCAATTTCATCGAGCAGTCCTGGTCACCTGACCAAAATGTCGTGATCTAATTGGACAATGCGCAAGAAAAGGTCATGAGCACAAACAAAAGATTGATGATGAGGAACAATAGAAAATCATCGATTTACACCATAAACAAACCAGTGTGCATGTGGCTTTGTGTTTGCATTCAACCGGGGTTGAACAATAGAGGACATCATAAGGTCCACAGTTCCCGAAGGTCCACAATTGACGATCGTGTACAAACCATATGGGAGGTTTGCCTAAAATGTTAGAGTAACAAAAGAGGGACAATAGGGGGTCTACGATTGCAGGCAAATGCACACTTGTGTGTGTGTGAGCAATGCGGGCCGTCAACGCGTTATGGAGAAATGTTTGATTGTTATACAAATAAGGACCAATTTAATGGGGGACTTTCGGCAGTCCCACAGCGTCTTCGGTCCCCATAGTACAATGGGACAACTTTAACCTTGCATACTCTTTGCGGGCCCGTGAACAAAAGAGGTCCACAGAATGCATGAACGCTGTGTGGACTTGCCCACGTCCACACTAGGTTCCCCCTCTCTGGAAAACAGCTTTAGAGTCATTTTGGGTTTATCCGTCGCAAAATGAAGAGGAACACTCAAGGAAATCATGATAAAAAAAATTGGGTTGGAAGAGTGTTTACAGTGGGAGTAAATTGAGTTTTTTTTCTCCGGTTTTCTTACCAACACAAATACAAAGGAATGTCCACAGTAGATGTGTGAGGTAACGCTGTGTGTAGTCCCCACAACTACGGAACATGTGTGTTTAGCGAAGCAGAGGTTTTGCATGACTATTTTTTTTTTTTTTGCCTTTTTGTTTGATTTTTTTTTGTAATACCTGCCGTTTCTTGCCGGCGCACCACCGCCCCGTGAAAGCGTCTCGGAATCCCCGCCGGAAATTCTCGTTGAAGCCGCAGTAGACGAACGGGTTCATTGCGCTGTTTGCGTAGGCCAGCCAGGTACAGATGAACCACAGCTCCTTGGGGATGCCGTCTGCCTCCTAAAAAATTAGCATCCAAGGAAAGACACCAAGGAACGGGAAGAATCAAAGGAGGTCGGTAAATTATTGATTTCTCGGCTGTTGGAATCTCACCCATTTATGATATTATCGTAAGGTCAGTTTGGCACAGCGGTGCTTCAAGTCTTCGACTTCCACCTCTATGGCTCGGGTTTGAGTCCAACCAAGACCAACATGTGAACTAAGTTCTCAGTCCCCGCCGGGCTCCGTAGGTTTTCCTTGTAGGCCTATAGGTAATATCCTTCCAGGGGACAGTTATTTCATACCCGGGAGGGAGATATAATTATTAGATTTATAAATGTCGATCAGCAAACATCGGCCGGTTTTTTTTTTCGTTTGATGACTCATTTAAAAGTGAAGAACTTTTAATATATTACTAGAAAATGAGTGATCTAAAAAAAATATCTATATTTCGCAGTCAGGTTGATAGCGTGCCTGACGGGTACGTTTTAATATTACCATTGAGGAGTCAAGCATAATTTTATTTGTGCAAAGAATCAATGGTTAATTTTAACCCCATGCGTACGGGAAGCGGTCATGGCCGCGGCCGCTTATCCTCATTGGAACGCAGTTGCTAGCTGTGGTATGCCGTGGCAGACGGCTAGTGGGTAGTTCCACAGCTGCTGTTTTTGTGCAGTCCCGCTACCACACAAAGGCTGTGCAGTCATGCGGGCCACTTGCTCTATGTGTGGAGGAATGTCCCCATTACACCCCGTCCTTAAGGGGTTAAAAAGGGGTCGCTCTGGAACCTGATTGGCTATAGCTCGGTGATGTCAGGTAAAATTGCGCGTAAAGTCCATTTATAGCAGAGATCGCTCTGGAATTTGATCAGCTAGTCCCATAATATAGCGTGGTGATGCCAAGCATCTTGGGTACACTTGGGTACAGTACCCATTTTGTACCAGAGATCACTCTGGAATTTAATTAGCTAAAGCGCATGATTGTAAGGCTTTAATGCACAGAGCCCGCGACAGCAAGGAATCGCTCCGGAAATTGATTAGTCAGGATGGTCGTGACGTAGTAATACTTACAATATCAGGCGACCAATCCTGAATGAGATTGAGGATGTGGAAGGGCAGCCAGCACAGCGCGAAGATACTCACCACTACCACCAGCATCTTAATGACCTGTATGACAAAAAATACTGCAAGTTAAACATGCGCGATCCCCTGGCATGCTGGCAGTATTTATACAGTCAGTGTATCTTTTCAGTGTACCTAACCAAAATCAACAATGACCTCAATTGACCCCTAGATGACATTTGACCTCAAATATCTCACGTCATCTAAAGTCCCCCCACCGAAATATTATTGTCACCAAGTTTAGTTGAGAGTGAAGTCTGACTTTTCATATGACAGCACTAAACAGTTAACCTAACCAAAATGGAAGACGCAGACACACAGACAGATCGCAATACCCCCCTTTCTTGGCTTAAAAAGCCAGGGGATAACAAAACAGAACTTTAGGCTAGCTTACTTTTCAAAAAATAACTCAAGAAAACTTGTGGAATGTCGTGTCGTGAGTTCGTCTTGGTATGGACAGAATGGTGAAAGTCTTTCTCCTCGAATGAAGAACTTTTCATTCAATTCACGCAAAGATTCTTTAGGCACGCTAAATCTATAATATAGTAATATGGTCAGGAGACAGTAAGCAGTAAGCATGTAGCAATAGGCAAGCCACCTCAAAGGAATATTTGGGTTTAATAAGTGACATTACGATACAGATTTCACAATTTATCTGCCATAGTTTATTGCTGCATGTGAAAAAAATGCCATGAAACTGGGCACTGTTCGTGAAGGGATGGTTAATTCCCGGTACCTTTCTTTTGGAGCGCTCCTGCGTCGACACCTTGCCTTCCACCTTCACGCCCGGCCCGTGCGTGCTGCGTGACTTGAGCGTGCAGCCGATCCGGATATACGTGACAGACATGAGGAACAGCGGCAGCACGTACACGCCCACAAACAGCAGCGTGGTGTAGACGGCCCTGATCAACTCTTGATGGCGCCTGTCTTCCCCTTCCCAGTACTCGTAGCACCAGCTGATGACTTGGCCGTCATCCCACGTGTGGGTGGTGTGCTTCATGTTGAGGAGCATAGGGATGTTGATCAGGAAAGCTATCAGCCAGACAATGCCTGGTGGAACGGGGGCAGGGGTGGATAACAAGACAATGTAAGCCTATCAAAGATGGTCCAAGAGCCGACACAAAATTCTATTTAGGCCTAATTATTTTTTTCAGTGACTAATCGCTGGAGGTCTTTTCATACATCTGGTATACATAACGAGCAAGTATTAGCCCAATTCGTGTGAGTTATGGGGTAGTTCTTTACAATATTACTGCCCGGATCAGTCAGGCAGTAAGTCAGTGAGATGGACAGGCATACAAGGAAAACACTATTAACCTGGCCCTCTAGGACAGCAAAAAACGGTCACAAAATGTGAAAACCTTCAGTCATGGAAGTGTTACCTTACGCATTAGGCCTACTTGTGTCTGTACGGTTGGCATTAAAGTGACTGTGTCTTTTACACGCGCGCGCACCATGATTACTAGCGCCCATTGACTAAATGCTCGAGCTTCCGGTTAACTTCCAGTTCCATTTGCGCTATGCTACACCGTGTGTTGTTGAATTGAGATGACGTCACAGTAACGAACCGGCTGGTCACATTGGTTCCAATGCTACAACCGTGTGCAGTAGTTGAAATGACGTCACACTTACGAACCGGATATTAAGAACGTCTGCTGGCTCATACTAGTCAGTGTCCCCTCACTGACTGAGCAACTGAGGCCAAGTTCGGGCAAGGACCATTAGTCGACTAGTGGTTGATTTGTGAAGTACCTTATGCCTGCGCACTGATAGCAAAGTGCGAACGTCTCTAGTCAAACGCTGGTCAAAATGTCATCGCAAAACTTCTGGATCCTGGCTCTCTGCTAGCGTTATGAATGCGCGCGGCTATTGGTTACCAGAGATGCAACCAGCCCCAGTAGGTTGGTTCCAAATAGTCGACTAGCGTAGTCAACCACCGTCGACTAGAAAGAGTTCGGGCAATCGTTAGTCGAACTATGGTTAACCATTGGTCAACTATAATCCTTGCGCGAACTTGGCCAATGTCACTGACTGATGAACCCGTTTAACTTTAGGCCGTGTCCGAAACGGACTTCAGGAGCTACGGCTACGTCTACTGTCAGTGCGTCCCCGCGTATTTCAATGGGCGCAGACCTAGACCTAGCTCTAGACAGCTGATTCGGATGCAGCCTAATTTTTAAATCTGTATATCTTTTACCGATGACAAGTCCCGCGTTTCTCTTGATCACGCGAGATTTCAGCGGATGCAAAATGGCGAAGTATCGGTCGCCGGCCACCACAGTCAGTGTCAGGATACTGACATGAATTGAAACACCTGTAACAGTAAAAAGAAAGCATCAATCAATACGGGCGATTCCCAATAGTGCGCCTCCAAGAGTTTGCAACGCGTTGGCCAATCACAATGCGCAAAATCTGTCGACCCAACGCCCGTTTGGAAAAGGTCGACTGATTTCGCGCATTGTGATTGGCCAACGCGCTGCAAACTCTTGGAGGCGCACTATTGGGAATCGCCCGTATTGGAATCGGGGTTTTGTTTTTGTTATACACAGGGGGGATCCAGGAATGTGTGCAAGGGGGTTTAGGCCCGTCAGATTTAATTTTTTTATGTCCGATTGTGGCGGACAGGGGCACACAATAAAGCAGTACATTGGGTTTTTTTTGTTATTTTTTTGCGTACTATTATAGCTGCCCCACCCCTCTGGATCTGCGCCTGAATTCGGGCGATTCACAATGCATTGCGCCACCAAGAGTTTGCCATGGAGAGTCCATTTTCCAAGTTTACGGTCGACAAAACATGGCCAATTTGAATGAGTGTCAGTAGACAACTTGAGCTACTTTGTTATAGATTTGGGCATAGCGTTCTGCCGCCTTAAAAAAAACCACCATATTGATAAAAAGAAAAAAAGGGGGCAAACAGATACTCGAATCATACGCTTACGAAAAAAACTGACCGGAAAAACGAACAATTTCAAATGTCCTTCGCTGCGAATTTGTCGACCATCTCCCACAATGCACTGGGAAAAATGAACTCTCCGTGGCAAACTCTTGGTGGCGCACTGCATTGTGAATCGGCCGGTGGCAAAATGATCAAAGAATATTCGACTCAGGTTGAACATGAACCACGAACCTCTAGATCGGCAACGAAGTTAATCCGTCACAGATGTAAAAACTGAGGTTTGATTTATATAGCAGATGAATGTGAATTCGTTTGAAATCGCAAACTTTGCAGATAATAAATCAACTGGGTAAAAGCACTGCAGCTAGTTGTAATTCGAGAAAATGGAATGTGCTATACTTGACACTGATTTAATGCCAAAATATGGTCTTTCGACTTTAGTCTAGGTGTTATTAACGCAGTTCGAGCGCACATATAAACATAAATCTATCACGTGACGTACATCAGCCAACCAGCGAGGAGTGGAAGTCACGTGGTAATTGCGACAGACTTTTCAAATACTTTCTCAAGTCTTGCTCGCTTTGTTTGGAGATTGACGTTGGCTCCTTGATACTCAATCGCGCGCAATTCAAACCGTTTATCTTCTACCTTGAAATCATCTGCGCAATCTTGTCAAACGATCGGTCTGTCTTAGCGCATCCGATCCGTTTCGAGGCATCACTTTCATCATTCAGCTCAGCTAAACGGAGTATGTAAACACGTGCGCCCAGCGTGCAGGCATGCAGTTTCAGCCCTGGCCCAGATTTGTGTGTTGAGATTTCAATTAGCCTGGGCTACCGTGCCCCGATACCCGATATGTCACCCGATCGGGGCCGTCTTACAACGCGCGCCGTGGATAGGCCGTTCTGGACCCGCGGGCTCGATCCGGTCCGCGCGTCCGCTCGCTGCTCGACTATTTCACCGGATCGCCAGCCGTCCTTCGCCGCTCACGACAAATATTTACGAGGTTTTAAGCGCTGAAGCTATTGATTACGGGGAGCCAGCGTGATTCTTAGTACTCGCACGCTTTAGAAATCTGGCAGGGTTTTTTCCACTAGCATATGTCTGGAATTAACCAGATCCGGCTGTTGGGGATTTCATAGCCTTGGTATGTGATCACAACGTAGAGAAACATCGAGGACAAAAGGACACACGATGATCTAGAGGGAAATTAGCGCAGTGTAATGGGAGCCAATTTCCTGGCATGATGTTGCCACTTTGCCAAAAGAAGTACATGTATACTTGCAGGTCTTTCGGATTCTTAGGATAGTTTCAAGAGTAAAGCAATCTGCACCCCCCGCAAGAGATGCTGATCCAGGCTTCAAGTTGGCTTCGTCTTGTTCGTCTTACACAACGGGTTGGTCCAATCACGCCCGAGGCTTAAGACTGAGGAAAGTCGAGTTTTGAAAGTGCATCATCTAATTCTTGTGTTACCAAAGTTGGCTGTAGTGAAAAACTTGAGCGTGGCTTGCAGCATGTTAAAGTCAGACTGCGACAAGGCCACTGTAATAATGTAAACGAGGGAGTGGATTACTGCGTGAAATATAGATGGGATTTGACTTGTATATTGTCCTGGGGAAAATAGACATGCATCCAAGTTGTATTAATGCATTGAATTTGTTCCTTTTTTACACGAAAAAAACCCACGCTCTTTATATACAGTATGTCCACAAAAAGTGTCCGTCAGATTGGTTTTGAAATAACTACAAAACCGTGAAGTTGATTTTGAAAATGTTTGGTTGTGCAGATACTCCTTATCCTTGGCCTAAACCCCTACGAGATCACTGTAAAAATGGTGCTTAGGATTTAAACACATTTCTTAACACTTATTCTGTACCCACTTTTTCCACACGTTTAGCATCATGACATGTTTAGATGTCCTTTTTCTGTGACACGCATTATCCGTTTGACATGTTCAATAAATAATATGTTTAGCATTTAAACACCTTCCTAAGCGCATTTAGATAGACAATCCTAAGTACATGTCCAAAACGTAAACACGTTTAAGTTTCACAACATTAAAAAGTGGTAAACGTTTAGAATTGAAACACATTCCTAAACGTTTTAAACTCTAAACACGTTCTTATGTGTTTAAATGCTAAACACTGTTTTTACAGTGTAATTTCAGTCACGCATCACTACACAATTGTCAATTGATCACAACAACATTTTGGACGCTGTGACCACTTTCCATGCCTTAATCAATTTCAGTGCCATCTTATGTAAGCTTTGTAAAATCCTGCATGTTGTGAAAAATAAGACTGAAATGGTTTAGACTGGAATCAATTGCCAATTGAGCAAACTCATGTCTTGCTATGATTCCAATCTCAACCGCAGCCCTTTTCACAACATGTAGGAGTTTACACAGCTTACATTTAAAAAAAACCCTGAAATTGATTAAGACAAGGAATTTGATCACAGTGTCCAAAATGTTGGTGCGTTAAAATTGGTAGTGATGCATGACTGAAATGTAAACGAAAGTCATAGGGGTTAAGGCCGAGGATAACGAATATCTGCACAACCAAACATTTTCAAAATTGACCTCAGTGTTTTGAAGTTATTTCAAAAATTGTCAGACGGACTCTTTTGGGGGGACATACTGTATATGTACCACTGTCAATGAGTGTTTTAATATAAAGGGCCAGTAAAAGCTATAAATTGGTAACGACAACCCTATAATATAGTGTTGTGGTCAAGTCCGTCACAAGCTTTCCAATTTAAATGGGACAATTTTGTAATATCGTTGGGTTCACCACAAAGTGACGAATATGATAGTTCTGCCGCATCACTAAGTGGAGGATCGTCTATGGACTTCGTGCACACGATACGTCACTATGTGGCGCGGCAATTATCCACGAAAGGCCTATGCCACTTCGTAGTGCGACCTACGAATTGTTCACCAAACTTGTGATTGGACTTATGACTGCACTTGTGATTTACTTTGGACCGGATTTGTGATGGCCTTGTGGTTAACTTGTGCTAGACTCAACTTCGACACTGCTACCGACTAGTTAAACTCACCTTGGAGTAACGCAGAAATCTTGCACATTGCCGCTCCAAAGATCCACCTCTGCATCAGGTGGTTAGCCAACCAGGTCCACTCAGAGATGAGCGCTATGATGATGTCAGCTACCGCCAGATTCATCAGGTAGAAGTAGGTGGTGGTCCGCATGTGCTTGTTGGAGAGGATGATGGTGATGACGATGCTGTTACCTACCACGGTGATGAGGATGATCAAAGCGACAGACACGACCTTAGCGGCCAGGACTGCGGGAGGGACATACGGGGGAGTGTAGGTGTAGTACGGCATCGGCTCCATGGTGGATGACTGGTTGCCAAAATCATAGTCCGTGGAGTTTGGGTAGTCATCGCCAAGGATGGAGTAACCTGGACGACTTGATACCATACTCATTTTGAGAGTCTCACCGTTCTATTTACAGCTTATCATCATTTATCTTTCTTAAGAATAGAGCAATCGTAGCGCTTGCCTCGTGAAACAAGTGTCCAATTCACAATGAACTGCACGTTTTAGGTTCCCGAGATTAAAGCAAACATTACCCACGCGGACATCTAAGAGATACTAATCCTGTTTCTTTTAAGGACGTGGCAAACCTCCCGAGGGACGGGACATCAACAACCAGGTGCCATCACACGGGTACGAGGAGCTAGAGCGCGCCGTTAAGCACGTGCTGTCGTCGGTGGTAGCGATTGGTTCGTTGCGCCCTGCTCCACTACCACGGACCAGATGACGTTCTTTAGCTTTCCCGCCTTTTGGGGTCCGAGCTGCGATGAGGGAGATCAGGACGCCGACCAAAATGCCTCTCTCAATATCTTCGGTAAACCCTTTCGTCAAGGAGCGCGTGGCGATGACGTAAGCGTCGCGAATCTCACTCAACGCGCAAAGTGGACACCGTTCGATAATGAGAAATTACCATCCGTTAGAATTGCGAATTCTGAAAAGACAAGGGGGGAAAGAAAACCAGAAGGTGGTAAACGTACAATTGGATGTAATGAAGCAAGCTGTGTTGGATGGGCTGTATTATTGAGCTGGTTCTTGATTTGGGGTAGTCTATACTATCTGTACGAACGACACATTTAGGAGAAAATCATCTTTTAATTTTGCAGAGAAATGGTGGGATTATATCGTCACACTATGGTTCTATTAGACATGTGCACGTGAGAGACAAAAATTGGCATTTTGCTACGAAATCGTGCTGAAAGTGATGAGGAAGCATACACGCAGAGAGCACAAACGAAAACGTTCACGTCAACGTCCAAATTCAAGGTTATCGGTGTCTTCAACTCGGGAGAAGTTTGCGGACAATCCATGCATTTAAAAAATGACTAAAGCTGATGCAAGGGGCTGCTAACAAAATATATCGGCTAGCAAATTTTAACGTGCTAAGCAAAAAGCAGTCGGGAACCAGTCACAAGTACACATAACATGGCATTTCTGCTGGTAACCGATTTTTGATATTGAAAGCAAGTTGTTTCTTTGTGGTTTCAATAGGAACTCCGTGAAATTGCAATGGCCACTGGTTCCCAGACATTCGCTTCTATGTTAGAGTTTTTGGCCACGTCACATTGGGTATCCACAAACTTCTCTGAAGCTTTACTCTCCATCATGCAAAGCCTCAAAATGTTTTTATTCACATTTGCGTCAGGCTTTGTAGGAGTGCGTGCCCACAATCCTTTGCGTTTCCGTATGGGGTTGGATCAATCGAGTGGAGTGGATCAGCCGGCGGACTTGTTCCAGACTAGACCAGCCGGGCACGGACTACAGGAAGACTTTACGCACTTGTTTGGCAGACATGCAACCTGTCAATGTGTTGGGATTGATAGCCCAATGCACCACAGCAGGCCTGCGTGACCGAACTACAAAGATAATTGGCTCGCGTGTTGTCCACTGCAGATTGAGTTAGCGTTATTTAATTCCAAGCGTGTCTTCCTGTCCCAACTTGAAAGCCCCAGCCAGGCAATAATTCACGGCCGAGTGGTGGCGCAATTTGATCGTCGAGGGGCTCTTGCTAATTGGAGTACCCGTCACGTTAACGCACAACACACAAATACAGCCCTGTCAACACGAAGCCGTCAATATCCTCACTACACTCGTGAAAGTGTAGAATCGAGTATACCACACGGGGCTTCGGTTTCTGGCACAAAGGGTAGATCTTTCCAGGATCCAGGATCTACAAGTTTCGAGAGCAAATGTCCCTAGCATCACATGTGACTACCATGACCTTAGCAGCCCCAAAACAATGAAGTGAACATGCCATTATTTGGCAGTAAAAAGTTCATCGGATAATCAGGTTAGGATAAAAGCCCTAAATTTCTTCGTCCAGCCGCGCCGTGCCGAGCGGTTAGCGCCACAGGGCTCCCCAGCGCGCACTCAGGCGCGATCTCGAGGGCCCGGCACGGTACAATCATTGATCAATATAACAAATTCCACGCCAGACTGGTCAAAAGATGATAGGTGAGAGTGAGGTAATTTGAAGACAACCGGTAAATTAACATCCTTTCAGAGAAGGAAAGGAACGATGACCGACGTGTTTCCACGCTAGATTTCGTCGGGCCGTGGTTTGCTTTTGGTACGGTTGAACTAGATGATGGCGGTATGCACGTCCTGAGCCAATCTGTCAACCCATCAGTGAGTCAGGCCAGGCTACGCGGAAGACTGGGCCAAACCTCAGCTGCAAATAGATTATCTTATCGGCAAAAGGGAGAGTATGTCGATAACCCACGAATCTTATTTTCCTGGTTTGTTCTAATTATTGTAGTTTATTTTTGGGGTAATCTCATACAGTGGTTTCAAATAAGAGGGGCCTTAAGTTGTTGTTTTTAACAATGGAACAGATATCTACGTTGTTTACTGAAGATGAAAAACACAGTGATAAGTTGTCTGCCGCCCCCAAGAGTCTTTAATTTCAACGAGTTTAAGTTTCTGGGATGGTCTGCTAAGGTGCTACGTCGGTTGGAACAGTAATGGTATTCTAAAAGCAAATTTGAAGTATCATCTGTTGTTAAAGGGAATATACAACATTTGCTTTTGCTGTAATTTTCAGAAATAAATCGATTTGGGGGGGGGGTAGTATATTATAGCAAATATTGTAACAACGACTACTTGTTTGGGTTTTGTGTTCGTAGATGCTGGGAAAAACCAAGAAGCACAATCATGTTGTTGTAGTCTAGTTTCCTGACCTCACTTAAGATTAAACGGAACAATTTTTAGAAGTCGGGGAATTGTAAGGTCAGGGAATCAGTCTAGCTGGCTTGCATCCGTTCACAGATGCATAATCGATTGCAAAGAAAATGCGGACTTACTAAATATGATAAATTGGGAGTAGTATTTGAAAAAAAAAGCTTTCTCCAACGCTGGTCGCCCGACCAGCGTTGAAAATTGATACAAACATACAACTTTTCTTGAAAATGTCAGCACACCAGGTGCCATGATTGTACAAGATGCTTTAGACTGTCATTCAGTCCAGTAAGGTATTTCGTGATAATGTGGTAATGTTGTTTTTGATGTTTGCAAATGTTGTAAATTCCTTGAACTGTATGCGATTTGAAATCTTTTTTATAAAACATTTAACAATTTTTTTGTTCAGATAATGGGTAATTAACGTTACCGAATAGGTAATCTTGATTAACAGTTTGAAAAACTCACTGTATCTAAAAATTTCTTTTTAGCGATATCTGCATAGTTTGACGGGATGTGATACCCATACTTATTACAATACACCTTTACGGGTGTGCAACGTTGCCGGAAGGACGTACTATATCAAGTATACCATGCGGAAACAACTCTATACTTGTAACCTAAAGCTATACTAGACTGAAGTCTCAAAGCACCGTACGATTGAAACGAATACGCCACACAGACTTCCATAAGCATCCGTAATTCTTCTATTGATGCCTGCCGATGGAAATCTTAAACCCCATGGCGAGATGGACGCCCGTTGCGTTGCAATATATACTGGTGGCCTAATTACACATGATTATGATAATGAAGCTCACTACTGGGTGTTAAAAAAGAAAAACAAGAAACTGGATTGACTACAAAATATGACGCCCTTTACGGCAGTCTACCAAGCCTGAACAGTTCGGTTAATGTGAAATCTAAACTGTCCCACCATCGGCTTTGGCGGTGGCCGGGGCAGGGGATGGCTATTACTGGCGGTGAAAGCTGGCACACCGTTCCATTTTACGCACGGACGATTTGGATGATATATCAAATTGTCACCGGGAGAGCTTTATTATCAGAAGCGAAATGAGCTATTGCTCATTTCTAGTTCTGTTGCAATCGTGAAATATATCATTATTACCCCCACCAAGGAGGTAATGTTTTCATCGGCGTTGGTTGTTTGTTTGTTGTTGGTTGGTCTTTGTTTGAACAGGATAACTCAAAAAGATATGGATGGATTTTCATGATATTATTTTTTGGGGGTGGTCCTTGGTACAAGTACAAATCGATTATATTTTGGAAGTGATCCGGATCTGCGTCTGGATGCAGGATTTTTTTAAAGGATTCTTCACCATTTTGTATGTGCCAATATAATGTGTAGAGACCATGAACCTCTGTGTACAACTGAGCAGCTTCGTGTGCGTGCACTGACCGGCGACCCTTCACCGACCTAATCGTACCACACAGGTCAATGGACTAGACCATTTTATACAATGGGGGAGTGGAGACGTACGGCGACACAGACATTATACATGTAGACTGCAAAGATTTTAGTTCAAGGATCTGTGTTATTGAATAACTAACGATATAAAGATGCCAACATTGTTATTTTTCGATAAATTCTGAATGATGAGCACTCCTGTTGATATTTTAAATGTGCAATAAACTATGGAAGTCCAGTGGGTATATGCGAGTATTTCTTTTGAGTGTAGTGACAATTATGGCGGGAAATTGTTCAGCCTTGGCGAGGGTTTGCGCTCTCTGAGTGCTTTCTAGTTTTAGAGATCATGTTTGGAAGACATTATTTGAACAGGAGATATTGAAACTTGTGTGGCTCTATTTCCCGCACTGGATGATGTACAAATCATACTTCGATAAATCGGAATTGTACTCTTTAATTCTTTCAAACTTTGAACTTATTTGGAAGCCATTACCTGTATAAGAAGCCATTATTGTGGTGGTACACGCGCGCCTCAATATCTTATGAGCATAGATTATTTCTCTAAATTTATGAATATGAGCGCGTGCGATATGTGCGCTCGCGTGGAGTCACTTCAGTAAAATGGCGATCGTCACATTAGTCTTCCCTCTCTGCTTCCGTATGGAAATAGAAACAGAGACGAAATCAATGTAAAATCCCCAAATCCCTTTATTATTGCAAATACATAACTGCACTGTGCCGTGAAGTCCACAGATGAAATCAGAATTAATGAGCCCTCTACGCTCATTTATCATCCGCGGTTCGATGAACAAGATTTGTGATTCACGAGTCCATTTTCTGAAGATAACAGCCGCAATATTAACCATCGCCGTGCTCTGTATACCACGAAATAGAGGGCGAGCCACGGGTGAGTACTGTCATTATCTACTTGTATTATGGGGGCTTGACAAACCATTAGACATGGGGTCAATATTAAATGAAGCGGCTAATCAGAGAAATATCTGCGTAATAAGGGCAATATGTCAAGGCTATTGCCTAGTTGCTACCATATGAAGCAGTGGAGTGTGATGGCCTAGCGGTTAAGAACACTGGACTCACGTTCTGGTGTTTCAGAGGCAACAGTGACGTGGGTTCGAGCCCGCCGGCGGACACTTGTGCTCTTAAGCAAGGCACTTAACCATTATTGCTTCGTCCTTCGGATGGGACGTTAAGCCGTAGGTCCCGTGTGTTGTATAAATGCACGTAAAAGAACCCAGTAAACACTTATCGCTAAGAGAAGGGGTTTGCCCCGGTGTTTCTGGCCTCCTGTATAAACTCCCACGTGGAGTATT